CAACTTCACATAGAAGCTATAAAGAGACAGCAGATCAATGAGCTCTTATAACAAAGCTATGACTTAAGCATTTGATTTTAAAAGAAAATAAACTGTGAAATCCAATTCAATGTGTGTCTTTCTATTAGGGAGAAAAAGCACCAGCCATTTTTCACTTATAAGATAAGCTATGAACTAACACACAGAGCCATTCCATGAATTTAAAAGACCCACTTGACTTAAACTTGCAACATGGTTTGAAAAGTTTTATATTTAAACATAAGGTTTAGTTATCACAAAGAATTTTTTTGCTTACAGCACTTAAGAGGTTTTTATGTAAGAATGACCAACATCAATAGTGTTTTACTGAATTTTCCTATCAGGAAATCAAATTTTTAAAGAACACTAATCAGAAGTAAATTACCAAAAAGTTGCTACTTTGGTGACATGTTCTTCAGCATAATGCATGAAAATAAGCAATTTCTTTGAAAAAAGAAAATGCAAACTGAGCAGAACATCTGATATCTTCCATGCTAACATGAGCTCTAGAAATATTAAAAAGTGTTTCTGCAAAGAGTAGGGATCTTATGACAGAAAACATGAGCACAGTGTGAATCCCAGAGAGCATATGCCCAATAAAAAAACCACAGCCTCTACACCTACATGGGATGAAGTTTTACAAGAATACACATTTATGTGCAAATAAAAAGATGGAACACTCCACTAGATATCAAGTGTGCCTGTAATTAACTGGATTTTTGCTTGTCTCATTCTAGCTAGGAACTGTTCTCTTAAAAAAGATTATTTTTTATCAGAGACACTATCTTCTCAAACTTTTCATTTAGGTACCTTCTGTTAACTACTGAAAAGGAATTGTAGCGATAATGAAGGCTAAGAACCAGGAGAAAGAAATATAATGGAAGTCATTATCCTGTAAGTACTGTTTCTTAGATTTAAGCCTACTACTCTATTAAGCATTCCACACTTCAGTGTTAGGATAGAGGAAAAAATAAGGAGTGAGGGTGGCTGCAAACTTTGTGGCTGCCAGGTAGAAACCCCTACACCCTGCAATTCTCACTCCCAAATGCAGGCATTGTACAGAAGCTATCTGTAGAGTAACAGTCTCTAAATACAGCATATTGCAAATCTTAGGCAGTTTCAGATTTTTTACTGTCTCCCTGCAGAATTCCTCATTTTAAAAGATGGTGAGCAAGTAATTTTCTCTGGGCTGTGCATTTAGAAAACCATGTATGAACCTGCTGCATATTCAAAGCTTGCCCAATTTGTTGCTTCATTCAGTATGCCCTTTATGAATTCTACTTCCATCCCATACTTGATCATGCTCAAGTGACACATCCTAACTCCCACTGTTAAGCACCTGCCAACATACTCATACTCCTCGTGTCAATATCAAGGAGGAGGTCAGGAGCCCCACGCCCAGGCTGGTGATTGTCTGAGAGGAGCCTGTGCTGGAGCAGGGTCCTGACAAGGATCTGCAGATCCATGGAGAGAGAAGCCCATACTGGAGCAGGTTTCCTGGCAGGACTTGTGACCCTGTGGAGTGACACATGCTGGAGCAGCCTGTTCTTGAAGGACTGCACCCCGCAGAAGAGTGACCCACGCTGCAGTAGTTTGGGGAGGGCTCTTGCCATGGGATGGATTCATGTTGGAGAAGTTCATGGAGAACTATCTCCCATGGCAAGGACCCCATTATGGAGCAGGGAAAGTATTCCTCTCTCTAACCAGTGGGAGAAAACAATGTGCAACAAACTGGCCATTACCCCCAGGAAGGGAGAGCCCTAGGAGCGGAGGCAGAGCTTGGAAGGAGGGAGGGGTGGAGAGAAGGTGCTTTTAAGGTCATATTTACTTCTCAGTATCTTGCTCTGTTTTTTTGTTAGTAATAAATTCAATTCATTATCCCTAATTTGAGCCTGTTTTGCCTGTGACAGTATTTGGGGAGTGATATCTCCCAGTCCTTATCTCAGCTCAGAAATCCTTTGTTGTATTCTCTCTCCCCTGTCCAGCCATGGAGGAGAGCAATAACAGCAGCTTTGGTGGGTGCATGCACCCAGGGTCAACCCACTACACAGGTTCCTAATATCAGCATGGGGTGCCATGACTAACACAATTCAAGTCAGATTGAAACTCAGGATTAATTCCCATGTACAAGCAGTAAGTGATGATAAAGATAATTTTGCTCCTCGCTTCATCAAGTGCATGATCATTTAACATGCAAATGTAACTGGAATATTTCACTTGAACTTCTCTCATCTGAAAAGCTGACAGCAGTTACTGCTTTTGCCAATGTAGCTTCACCATTTAAGAGAATGCCTGACAGTCTGATTTCCCCCCATTAATCCCTGACTTAAAAACCCCTAAGGGAAAGCCAGTTGAGCAGCCTGTAATGAACTACTCAAATTACTTAGGAGTTAATTGTCTCTAAGTTAAGCTAACAGTCAAATGATACAGCTGTGTTTTAGGCAGAATGCTACTTCAGCTGCCCCATGGCATTCCCTCAATTCAAGTACCACAAGTTTTCCTTTGTTAGCTCCAGGCACAGCACTTGCATCAAGCCTTATTGTGGCAGAGCAAAGCTTTTATTTTCTAACCTTTCTCTCACTTAACCTTGAGGAAAAGCCTGACTAACTCTGTCACACATGTCACAGACAGATACGCCAAATTGTTCTGTACCAGTTAAACTCAAGGAAAAAAAATACAATTGCTTTGAGTGAAATAACTGTGATTCCAGAATAAGTGGAAGCAAGAGGAAAAATGTTTATTGTTTCCCCAGGTCTGAAGAACAAGGGAAACAAAACCTTGAAGTTGCTGAATAACATATCTTATGACAATGCAAAGCTTAGTAAGTAGGCACTTAAATCACAGTGTGTGGCAGTCAGGGGACTCAGCTTGTGTGGTGAGACGAGACAGCAATGAAACAGAAGAGCTCCCAACACTCATCAAAAGCCAGATATACACAAAAAAAAGATCTAGCTTCCCACACACAAACAGTGTGTCATTTCCTTCACTTAAGCTGTAAGTCCATGCCAGGGGGAACACTACTTTAGCAAATAAGAGCCAAGGACAGTATGTCCCAGAGGCTTGTTCCACTATGAATTAAACAAGAAAACATTCCCTAAAGAGATGACAATGTGAATCTGGAAGTGGCACTAACTTACACAGATTCTTTTTACTGACACCTCTGAAGATCTGAAACTAGGTACTTTTGCCATCTCCCCCTCAGTCTCAAGTCTAAAGGTTCACAAACTGTGAAATGTTCATACTATTAAAAAATCAAAACAAATCTAGAAGACCAGATGTGATGTTTCTACAAGTAGTAGTCTCTCACTGAAAGTGAGAAAAAGCCAGGCTTGGCATTCAGGAAAATTTTTCCTACCAGTGAGGTTTGAGCTGGAGAAAGACCAAAGGTCTTCCTACCAGATTTTCAAGACATCAGAACACATGAAATAAAGCCCATCCCTACTGCAGAAGGCAGTATCAGTAACTAAACTTTCTATGCTGTAATTTCTATTTAGAAGCAGCTGGTTTGTAATACTGTGAATGTTTCAAATGTATCAGAACAGCAGTGAGAAAAGAAATGTATTAAACTGAGAAGCAGCGTAGAGCATGATATACAATAATGACCAAAAATTAGATTGAACATGATCATATGTTTAGACTCCATCTCCACACTCAAAATTTTCATGTGATTTATCAAAGTACACATTACAGGTGAAGAGTATTAGCTGGAATTTTCATAGTAGGGTATTTAAACACATGTTTCTCTTTTATAGAAGGTTCCCACAGCATCCAAGAGAGGGAGTAGAATAAAATGAATATAACATGCATGAGAGTTAAAACCTTAAAACCTATATTCTTCAGAAGGAAGGGGAGAAAATTAGCTTTGTTTGACTTATGATACACTGCAGAGAGAGACAATGGGAGCTTTTTGTCAACTTAGCCAGCCTGTCACAGCAAGGAGGTGACTTAACCTGTCAAGGTGCTTAACAGTCCATGGTCCCCTACCACTTTCACACTGCTAGCATCATCCCTACTCAGCCTTTCAAAAAGTTCAAATTCTGTAATAGGTGAGAAAATTGACAGATGTTGTAGATATGTCCAAGCACTAAGCTTTTCAGAAGTAAAAGGTTGTTTAAATCCAAAATTAAATTAGTCTTTTGTATCTCAACACTTATGTTCCAATATACTCAGATGGATTGCTGTATTTTATCTAGCTTTAAGGCAATGCCAGACTGAAAATATGAGCTCTGGTGCACTCATAATTAATAACCAGATTAAAAGCGCCTCATTAGTATTTTTAACTCTCCATGCTTTATGCTTAGCATACCTAATTAGTTTGGCAACTTACATAAAGTTGCTTCATGAACACTGTTTTTCAGAGCTTCAGCCCCTCAATGCTTTCCTACAAAGGTCCTGTGTGCTGTTGACAAGGCAGCCTCACCCACCAGCAAGCTCTGTGGCAGAACTTGAGAGCTATTAGAGAACACTCAATTAGCCCATAAACTTCTACTACTCCACACACAGCTCAAATAATTCTAGAATCATTACAAAATATCCTGAAAAGAACCACAAGAACCATTGAGTCCAGTTCCTGGCCCTGCACAGGGCCAGCCCAAGAGTGAACGCACGTGTGTGAGAGCATTGTCCAAACACTCTAAACTCTGGTGCTGTGACCACTTCCCTTGGGAGCCTGTTCCAGTGCCCAATCACCCTCTGGATGAACAACCTTTTCCTAATACCCAACCTAGGCTAAAATACATTGTTCAAGTGAATTACTTGTGTGACAGTCAACCATGTAAGGAAGCTATTCAAATCAACTATCTCCAAAACACACAGAAAAACTAAGTTTTTACCATAAGCATCATAGTAATCTGCTGTTTTAAAACTGCTGTATTACCACATAAAAATGTTATTTCTCCCCTAAAAGAAATCTACTGTTTTGAATCCTGTCTCCACAACAAAGATTTCTCATGGTTATTAGTATGTAAACAATCTTCACATACCAGTTGTGAACCATCAGCTTCTGCACAGCCAGCAGTGCATTGTAACGAACTTGCTGGTCTTCGTGATGCATGTGGTTCATGACCAGCTGCTTACCACCAAGCTGTTCAATCACTCTGAAAAACAGGAGAGGAGCAAGTTTTTTTCACATTACTTTCAATTCTGGGTAGCTATCCTATCCAACCACTTCTCATCCAAGGCATTAAGAGGTTAAGTTTGAATTATATAATATTTATTTCATTAAAATTATTTATTTGCCAAGATACACATCCCTCCTGATGTGTTACAAATACATATTATCTTTTGTAATAAGATAATATTCTATATATATCTTTTTAAAAAAGGATTTTTTTAAGAATTCACAACAGAGAGTGTTTATACTGGACTCCTGTTTGCTACTTTGAAATAAATAATCAAGAAAAGAACCCTTTTCAGAAAGGGTCACTTACTTTACACAGCTCTGGAAAAGGGTTTGCAGAGTACAGCATTATCAATTATTAGGTAGGAGAGGTAGTGCCCTCCACGCCATAAATGGATGGCAACCAGGTCACTCAATTTTTTGCAAGAATAAAACCTCAATGTCTTCTGGCACTAATACAGAAGAATGGTTGTAATCACACCAAGACCTATTAAATCACCCACCTTGTACAGATAGTGCTTTTTGAGATTCAAACTGTACTAGAGCCACAGCTATTCCTGCACAAGTTGCAGAACTGGCTGTTAAGGTTCCATTCCCAGAAAAAAGGATCAGCTGCATCTTTCACTACACACTTCACCACCACAGTCAGCCTTTTAACAGTTATACCAAATCCCCTATGAAATACTGGTGAAACCTTGTATTGCATGCCATGAATATATTATTTCTTAATAAAACTGGTGGAAGGCAACACACTTAAAACCTGAAAAAAGTATCACCATTCAGATGACTTCACATGCAGCATTTCAGTCTGTCATAACAGTAAGCTTGGAGAGAATTTGCAAAGAATATATAAGCTGATTTACTCACTAATTTTCATATGGTTTTTTACAGCAGTTCTCTCACTTAGCAGTTAAACATGCTGTCCTGTGAAGACACCATCATTTGCTTTAGAGGCTTAACCTGATGTTGTCCTGCCATTTAAAGCTTGCATTAGCTATCTGCATGTTGTACTGCTCTTTTCATGGCCAGATTAATGCATTGCTGCTGCACTACAAAATTCATTTTTGCAAACTACAGAGCAGATATAAAGACATAGCATGGAGATGAAAAAGAGAATTTTCAATTTCATTTTCTAACTCAGTCAAACCTATCCTTAAGACCACAGGGAATATTATTTCCCAATAACATTCAAACATTTGTTCCATAAAGCAGGAATGGATTCAGACAAGTGCAATTTTTTCAAGCTGGAAAATCCTTGCCAAGAATTCAAGAAGTTATTAGTAATGTAACAGATTCAAAAAAACCTTTCTGCCTGCCTTATGCAGCCTCACCTTTATAATACGTTAAATATAAAACCACTGCACACAAAGGCAAGAGTATGAAACATAAACAATAATTTTTTCTTTATTAAAGGACTGACTTAAGCCACTGGATGTTCAGGAAGTCAAAGGATGTGAAAAAGGCATTAAACTCAAAAGCTTCCTTATGATAGAGGTATGCAAGAACCAAAATGAAAGGTTAAAAGCCTATAATCACAAATGGTAATAGGCTTTTTCAGATGACAGTACATCACTGAAATTATGGCTGAGAACATGAGGAGTTGAAGAACAGCATTATCATTGTTGCATAATGCTGCTTACAGGTACAGATCACTTCCCAGCCATGGGTTTAACCCAAAGGTCTAAACAGTAAAGAAGGTTCACAGTCAATCATGTTCCTTCAAGTTCCAAACATGTCCAAAACACTACATTTAGTTTCCCCTCTCCTCAACTGCTGCTTATTTTACAGAAGTAATAGAGACCAGTGGAACAGCTATATGTGCACATCTTCTGCAGTGACTGCTCCCCATAACATCACTGCACTAAGCCAAAAGTGTCATTTCAAAAGTGTCTCTGGATGCTGAAGATTCAGGTTTTAACATGACCCATTTAGAGGGAGAAAGAAGACATAGCAGATAAAGAAAAATGAATGCAATTTAGACTGTTATAGTAGAAAACAAATATAAAATCCACACGACTTATCTTAAAGCCCAGGTGAAAAAGGGAATGCAAGTTTTTTTTCTGAATCCTGAGCTAAGGAAGAGAATGGCTCTAGGTGTCCATCTCTTATACATGTAAAACACAAAGCCCATGTTCATAACATTCAAGAAATTCTAAGTGTTGATCGTACATAAAAATAACCTGTAGGCCACATGGAAGCTGTGCTGGCAATCTGGATATTTTTAGTGTCAGGAAGCAACAGTGCTAAACTTTATTTCTGCTGTTACACTCTCAGAAAATGCATCTTTGTGAGCCTCACGAGAAGCCCACGGGGCTACTGTCTCAACAATTTCATCCAAAAAGTGTAATTTTAAAAGCAACTTAAAATTATTTAAGCATTGGAGAACAGCCATGAAAAAACACAGTATCTTGTTAACAAACATTTCTTTTGTCAAACAAAGGGAAAGAATAGCCAGAACTGTAGCTCTAGGTCTCCACTGTACCCAGCAGGTGAAGTCAAGGAATTTTAGTATCCAATTTATCTCTGCAATGTTCAAAGGCTAAAGGATGATCCAGATAAGAGTTAACAATAAACACTCAACAGAAACAAAAGTATTTAGGACACCTGAATTCTTCTACTCTTCTAAACCAAGGAACTGTATCTATTCTTGGAGAGAGTCACGCAATGAGAGAGTAAAATACCAATCGCATGTGGGAGCAGTACACAGCTATGTACCAAAAAAACATAGGGAATGGATTATTATGCTGGAATGGACACATAATCCATAGGTATTTTAAGCTTTTAGTTAGTTCCAAAATTGCTGAAGTCATATTTGGTAAGAATACACTGGAGTACAAATTAAATTCTTTAAAAGTTTGTTCAACAGAACAGAAAGTTAAATAAGCCAAGTCTGTAGACAGAAAGCAGCCAAAGTATTAGAATTTGAGATAAGAATGTGGGCTAGAACAGTATCTAGGACACTTTTTATTTGCTGATGACCACTTCTTTTGAAGGCTGGCACATTGCTGAATAGGCTTAACAGCCTGGGAGCTAAGTGGAGCTGCAGTCCTAACAGCTATACATTTTCCCAACCACAGACAGAAGGATACAGGTCCTGTTTATCCACTCTGATTTCATAGCTTTGGTCCAGCAACCACATGGCCATACTAGCCCACACATTCAAATAAATGCACGCTAACTGTTCATCCATAAATATGAATAAAATAATTTCACACAAAGAGCAGGTCAAAGCAAGAACAGCTGACCAAAGGGATATTCTATACAATGTGGCAACATGCTCAGCACATAAAACTGGGATGAGGAGGAGGAGGAAGAGGGGAACCATTCAAAGTGATGGTGTTTGTCTTTCCAAGTACCCATTATTCATGATGAAGACCTCCTTTCCCTGGGAGGGCTGAACATCTGCCTGCTCATGGGAAGCAGTGTATTAATTCCCTATTTTGCTTTACCTATTAAATTGTCTTTATCTCAACCCACTATTTTTTTCACTCTTACTTTTGTTTCTCTTCCCCCATCCTACTGTAGAGAGACCAAGTGGTTATATGGACCCTGAACTGACATCAGTTAAATCCTGTGCAGAAACCAGGAAGAAACTGCTTCTTTGCTACAAAAATTAAGTCACGTGTGCCTCTGTGTAAGTGATGAGCCAGTTTCCTGCAAAAACCAAAGGCTTCTTTCTGCTTCAATGGTCTCTACCTTAGAGGTGCAATTGCTCAGTAAACATCTTTGCTCACAGGTTTTTAAAGCAGGAAAATATAGTAATGTTCATGTGTATTTCAACAGGAATTTGAGTTTATAATGAACATGAAAGCTTTCACAAAAATGAATATTTGTCTAGCTAAAACATGCTTAAATGGAAGAGGGAAAACTGAATCTGTGCATCACTGAAATTACACCAGCAATTATTTGTGGAAAAAAATTTCTCTGTAGTCTTAAGTCACAAAACAGTCTTTAGCTGGAATAGTCCATGTCTACCCCAAGTCCAGTAATTACAATCCAATTAGTCATAGAGAGGAAAAATTATATGTTGATTAATCTCTTGATAGTTCCTCCAATTTCTTCTGGTGCCTGGCTTCTGGTTTAGTCTAAACATTGTATTCGATACTTTAATCATTGGTTCCCTTTACAGTTAAGAGACATTGAAATCTGTTAAGTCAAAGATCCAGTTTGCAGTTTCTCATCTGATCTAGTTTGTGTTTCCTTATCTTCCCAATAAATAAAACTTAAGCATAACCTGCATCCATTTGTAGCATATTTTAATATCAACAAGCAGAAAATGCCACAGGCACAGTACACGCTCCAGCTACCTTCTAGGATAACAACATACTGGCATTTTCCTACCGTTTCCCACGGGGATAGTGGCGTACATATTCTCCCACGTCATGAGCAGCTACAGCCAGCACCTGTGGATCATCAGAAACCTCCAGAAGTTTTGTCAGGATCCTAGGAAAGAATGTGAAACAATGAAGTCCCACATTTTGGGTTGGTTCTTATTTTTCTGTTTTGGTTTTCTTATTTGTTGATGGGTTTTTAATCAGTGATAACTTAAAATAAAAAAGCCCATAAGCATAAAAATGTTTTACAAGTCACCCAAACAGTAAAGCTAGAACTTTTTCCAAACCATGCAGTTGTACTTAACAAAACTGGGAACCTGTCTTAATTAACAAAATTATTTTAAGTATTCACTAGAGTCAGTTTAGTGAGCTACATACACAAATACCTACAACCAAGGATTACAAAACCTCTCGTTTTTTTTTACTTTGGCTCCAAGACCAACAGTTTTGAATTCTAAATAGGCTTCATTAGAAAGCAGTTCTTTCCTAACTCAAAGACTGAGATGAGAGAGCTATGCTCCTTGCAAATTACACCAGTGCCACATTATTTTCATAGTATGCATAAAAACAGAGCTGTAAGAAGCATAAAACAGCTTCTGGACTCTTAACACTGTCTGAGTTTTTTAATTAAGAAGTTAAACCACCTTTAGTGAAAAACAGCTACAAGTAACACTGCTCTCTAGACAGTAATGAGAAGGGAGGAAAATAACACAGATTATGAAGGTTAGACACAGCTAAAAAGGTTAAACATAGAGATCACTGGAAAATTAGAGTATTCTATGCTTAGTGAGATGACAAATGTGTTCTAATCAGACAAAGTTAGAAACAAGCTGAAATCGGTAGGTTAAAAATTCAACTGGAATTTAAAAAAGGAACATGCTGGTAAAATTAAATTACCACAGCCACTGCCTGCCTCCCTAGAGGCCAGAAAGTGACAGGAAAACCACTCCTCAAATGAAAAGAACTCCTACTTTTGACAAGAAGAGGAAGCAGAAACTTGAACCATAAGACTAAGCAGAAGACACCAAAGAGCCATATAATGATGTTGAACAAAATATAAGCCCAACATCAAGGCAGGCAATAATGCAGAAGGTAAGAAAACAATTATGTTTAACAGTAGTGTGAGAGTATTAGATTTAGAAAACTAATAAGCAGGCAGATAAGGAAAAATAAAATTGTATGGCTCAATGCAAATAAGGATTGTTGGTCAAATGCCTTACAAGGCAAAAAATGAAGTTCTGAGGTGCAAGAATCTCCCCATTATGTTGTGGCAGAGGGTGTTTTTTGAGGATTGGTTTGTTTGGCTTGGTTGTTGAGTTTTTGGGGGATTTTTTGAGAGTTGGAGGTGTGTCAGGAACTACTGAAGATTACTGTCTTTGCAGCAAAAGTGCAAGAAAGTCCCAGAATCAGGAGAAATAAACACAGCAAAACATTGTAATCACTACAGGAAATACTAAGCCTTAACATCAACTTCATGCCATAGTTGTCAGCATCTAAAATTTTTAAGTCTATAATCCTACATGTTCAACAATATGCACTCAGGGAAGAATTCATCAGAATTTTTCTAAGGTATCAGGCCAGTTGAAATGCACATAAAGCTCAGGATCACCTTGTTCTTGCCATGTCTTCTAACATCTCACATGCTCCATTTGACCTCCTGATATCTGTTAGATCTGGCACTTATTAGCAAGCCCTGAACTGAAAGAACACCATGTGTTATCAGTTAATGACAACAGCCAGGCATCATTTCAGGACATAGTTTCATATGCCAGACAGCCAGTCCTCGACTGCAAATAAATATGGGTTCAGGTTCACTTCATATAACAATCTGTGTACTCCAAACACAGTCCCAACACAAAATACACACATTGCAACATAATGCACTGAGTCAAATTTCTCATGGAACAGTACCACAACTTTCAACTCCCAAATATCCAAGACAAAAGTTCATTACTCAGATCAACATCATCACACAACACAAATCTAAGATTAAGATACAGTAAAACATTTTTTTAATCAAATCAAACCTACATGCAAGTTAAACTAAAGATATTCCCTCTATCATAAATACACTTTCATCAGTAAAAGCAAATAAACAGTTCTGGTTTTGAACACAGCAAACCATACATTGTAAAATAAGCAAGATGTTATGACTTGCTTTCATTCTTGACTTTGTGTTAAAATGTAAAACCTTTATTAGAGTCTGGTTCATTTAAACACAGAAAATATTAAAGGATCACATTATTCAAGACTTGAAAACTTACTTGAGTAGTTCATAATTCTTCTCATTTAGTCTTACAGCATTCTCCCGCCAAAACTTCTCAGATTTGTGCACAGGACTCCACTCCAGTCTTCCTGATTTGAGCTCAGAGCTGTATTCATCAAAGGAGCTGCAACACAAAACCTAAATGAGATACTGGCCAAGCTTCTACAAACTCTCTGAACCATATGCCCAAGCCTGTCCCTGACAAAGCTGCAGCTCTAATTGCTATGACACATTTGGAAGTCAGTGTATGCAGAATATGAGAATTGTTCCCTGTCTCACCATTTGGTAAGTAAGAAAATGCATGAGAGGCAAGAAGAAAAATTTGTTTTCAAACACAACCTTCTACCTGCCCCAAAACACTATTCCCAGGAAATAAATTTTTAAAAAAATTTAAGACCCAGTCATGCAAATGCAACATTTGGAATTTAATTCTCTGTTTTGCTGGGTTTTTATGTTTCAACTTCCCCAATAAAGGATTTCAGTCTACCTTCCATCCACTTAAACCTTTGACACTACCTACGATATGCACTTCAATTTAGGCACAAGACCAAGAACTAGGTAAACACTAGCAAAAACTTGAGTTAATCTGGACAGTAGAAATTATTCTAATCAGGTAGACTTCAGTTTTGACTGGAAATCCTTTAAGATCACTTTCAAATTCTTTAACAATTTCTCAGTTACAAAGATCACATTTATAAGTGAAGACTTATTTTCTATTCAACCTCTAAATACTGACATACAATAGGAAACTAACAACCAGCACATCTCTGTATGCTCTTGCTAAATAGCATTTACATATCATAATTCTGTAGCTATTTTAGCCTTAAAAAGAAAAAGGTTCTACTAACATTCACATAACTGCTTTTTTTAAAGTGCACACTGCAAAGCATACCTAAGGTCCTGCACGCTCTCACCAAGCTTGTCCAGTAGAAATTTGATATCTTCACTGATGTCTTCATCATCATATTTCTGCTGATCCAAATTCTCTAGCTGCTTTAAAACCTTGCACTGAATCATGGCAAGAGCATATTCCTGGCGAGTTTCTCTCTCAGTAGATTTCTCTAACAAATTCTAGGGAAGTAAAGATGTATTTATTTTGTTTAAGAACAAACTACTTTGAAACAACGCAGTATTTTAAAGAAATACTCTTACTGGAACTTTTTTCATTACTAAGTGACAAAATTGACCACTTCCTGAAAGAATCTCTTTCTTCAATAATATTAAGTTTCACCTGTTTTGAATATTTTCCACATGAAACTGAGGTGACTACAAATACTATTCAAAGAAAAAGGGCAGGCTTTTATCTCAAATACCAGAACTTCCACCATAAACAGCCACTTTTATCTTGGATTACCATTTTAGCTTTCTGTGCAGCAATAGCATAAGGCAGAGAACCTTTAAAAAAATAACCTGAAGTCTTCTTTCCAAATCAAAGTTACCATCTGGATTAGATCAGCTCTTTTCAAGTCTGGGAATATTCCAACTAGACATTTTTATTTAAACAGAAGCTTGTTGGTAAGATTGGAAGTATAAGCACAGAATGCAGTAGTCAAGTTCCAATATCATTTAGTCATTACATTTCTACTCATTTTTATCAGCTTTCAATTATATTTTTCAATTGGAGCTGGCTACCTGCACTTTTCGATAAAGCTGAAAACATGAATTTCATATAAAAGACAAAGTCCTTAATAAACAGAACAGGTGTTCATAGAAATAGGATTTAACATCTGCCAGAAATAAGCAGTGAAACTATATAGAAGGAATTTGACTGCATCACTCTTGTGACAGAACTATTACACTTAAGGTTCTTTTATATCAGACATCCTATTAGTTACTGAAGCAGAACACTGCAAGTCAATTTTAAAACTTGAAAACTAAATATAAGTCATATCACTGCTTTTAATGGCCATATGTAATCAGCTTAATGTGCAAAAAAAAAAAAGCACCCCAGTTTCTACTTCAGTAAGTGAAATAAAAGGTAATTCACAGAAAGTAATGCTAATTAGAGTTAAAACTGCTAATGAGAGCAAATGAAAAAATGATGAACCTTAAATAAGACAATTCAACAGGTTCAAGGAGCAGGTGGAAAAAGGTTCCAAAGAACTCCTAGTTAAGATAATTGCAAGCAGATGTGGAAGCTATTCCAAATATTATTACCTATCTCATACCATAGTGAGATGCTCAAGCTTTTCATAGTGAATTTGAAAGGATATGTTAACAAAGTAAAAACACAAATATATGACTATATAGAATGGATCAGTAAACCATTCAGTAATAAAATCCAAAATCTTAAGGTATAAGACTAGCCCTAGGAAGGAAACAGATGTAAAAGGGGATAAAAGTATGAAAAATGAGGGGATAAAAAAAAAGGCAGAGAAAACAGTACATTCAAAGAGAGAGGAGTGCCCAATACTTGTTGCTTTATATTAAAAAATGTTACATTTGCAGTTATATACTTCAGGCACTTAACTTGATAAAATAGTGAAATATGTCAACTTAGGAGACGTAATAGAGAGGACATCCAAGCTGCCAAGACTCATGAAGCACTTTCCATAATGCATAGACAAATTAGGGAATCATCCAGCCTAGTCTTTTACTCAATTCCCCCCCCAGAAACTGTGGCATCTCATACAGGACAAGGGCTACTTTTCCTCTGCTACCTATATTAATTTTGTTTCAGAACTCACAGCTCTGATGTCTAATTTCTAATCTATTATGTTCCTGGCTGCCAGTTAACAACTCATCTTCACGCCAACACAAGTCCTTAATGTAGGAGAAAGGAAACAGCTAAGTTACACCCCCCCAAGCCTGTAACAGAAACAACTTATTCTTTCTTAGCCTTAATTTAAAAAAAAAACTTAGCTTCATTTTTGTCTCCTCTTGCAAAACACAGTAGATCTAAGAACTAGCAATTATTTCTCTTATTTTTTATGACCTCAGAATAGGAAGAAACTGGATATGAACTGCTGAGCTTCTCAGCTTTTTCTCTTCTAAATTTTTTTTCCAATTTGTCTTGCTATATGTCCCTGCTTAATCCCAACATTAATATCTTTAAGAACACTACAAGATCTAGAGATTAAGAAGAGTAAGAATATATAGTAAGAATAGCTCCTACTGAAGATTTCATACCACTGTTCTCCTTCAACAAGACAAACAGCAAATTCTTATGCTCTGCTTTATCCAGAAATATTTCAGTGGCAGATGTCTCCAGATAGAGAGACAGAGTAAGCACCTTCCCACAGCTTATCATTGCTAATCAGCAAATCAGTAATCAACAATTTCCCTCTCCCCATGCTTGCAACACTTACTATTGGAACATCCAGGAAAACAAACAACTTCCAAGACCTGCATTTCCTACTCAGGAATACCAAGTGCTTCTTGAAAGCAGCATTACAAAGTTGTTATAGCTTTCCTGTATTACTCACAAGACATTGGCAAGCATAAAAACTAGTAGCATCATGCACATAAAACTAGTAGCATCCATGAACCTAAAATGGTACTCTCATAGTAAAAACATCGAGCCTAGGAACTCAATTCTTCCTAATTATCTCATATGGGACCAGGAATTTTCAGGTAATGAAGACACAGTAATTCAACTAATCACTTTTACATGGGTATTCTCATCTGCCTTTACAGAGCCACCAAGAAGAGGTTTTTGGACTAGTAAATAAAAATAAGTTCTCAGTTGGACAAACATATGCATTCAAAATAATACTTTGTTAATTAAAGCTTCATAAGGTAAAATTTATCAGCTATTAGTAACTCCAGGGCTTTACAGTAGTACCAGTAGGAAAAAACCTTGAATTAAATAAGAGAAATCACTAGTGCCTGTGTTAACATTGTTTGTTTTTTATCAATCTTATTTAGAGAAGACATTGAATAGCAGATACCTATTACTAGTAATAGCCTGTATTACTAGTAATAGCCTGTATATTACCTGTGGCAAACACTCAAGGTAACAAAAGAAAAAGAGAAAAAAAAAAACCAAAAAAAATCAGAGAGTTAAGCTTTCAATGAGCTTACTGATATGGTCCAGCAGAAATAACTGTTCATCAGCAACATTTGAGACCTAGGACTCTGTGAGAGAAGCACAGCATGACTGCAGTAACAGGTACTCACCCGAAACGCAGCGAGGATGATCCTGGTTACTTTCTCTTTGACAGATTCCTGAAGAATATCCGACAGCACGGGGACAATATTGTACCGACGAAGATATTCACACATTTGAGGGCTAAATGCCAGCAGCCACACACAGAAAATCATCTGATACTGCAGCTGAAAACCGCATTTGTTGCTCAAGACACCCATGATGCTAAAAAATTGACATAGTACACATTTAATTTTTAAATAGTGACTACATAGGTTGCATTGCTCCAATCTGACATGGTAAAAGAAATGGTAACACAAACTTATTGGAAAGAGCTGCTGAGGATGAGCATACAACACACACTTCACAGTAACCTGCATCACTATTTATCATTGTATAAGCAGCTTGTTCAAAAAGCCATCTTTTAAAGAGATGCTTTTTTTACATTAGCCTTAAAGCCATAAAGCAGCTTTTTACATTGGAACTGATGTGGTACTGTATCCATCCTCTAATCAAGACAGTTTTTCTACTGGTACGTTTAAAACATTATTTCTCATTCTGGAAGAAACAGAGAAATCTCAGCTACTCCTTCAGACTTAAGAAGAAATAAATGGAACAAAATCTACACAAATTGAACCTCATTCCTTAATTGTACTTGTCCACAGGAGTGTCTGAAATGAGCTGAAGTATTCATTATTTAACAGCAAGTTCTCAGAAAATGGCTCATAGATACAAATATACAAAGTACTGCTAGAAAAATAATAGCACCCCAAGATCTTCAAGAAGACATCATGCAGAAGGTTTGCTCAGCTGAAGTTTTGAAAATTTAATAAGTAATTTACAGGTCAACTTTGAAATAGACAACTCAATTTAAAATTTAAAAAAATAATCTACATTCAAAATCATTCTTATCAAGTTTAAGACCAGTTCAAACATGGTGGAACACAGGCTTATTGTAATGCTTTAATACTTGATTAAAAAGCTTCCTTGGTTTCAGTAGTGTCACGTTGACACACAGGAACATCAACTGAAATTTTACTTCAGTAGGAATTTTGACTTTTCTCCATTTCAGTGTAAAGGGATATTTTTCATTAAAGTGGAAATTATGTACCAACCATCCCCAGTAGAGGCATAGATGGCAGAAAAATTATTTATCAGCAAGCATTTTTTAAATAAGATTAGTGCTGAAATCCTAGCCTAATGCAAAGGTATTTATTAGGAGAATTGGATAAAAGGGTGACCTACTTGAAGCCATATGTGGAAAAAAATTAGTCTTAGCTCTAGAAAATGTTTCTCCTTTCACTAATATTTTCAGACAGAACAATTCCAAACTCAAAGACTAGGATGATTAGCAGAAACTCATTTTGTTAGTCCTTGTTCTACTAAAAAATAAACAGAACATCTTCAGTTGAAGACAAATGGTTATATTCCTGTTCAGATACATCCTTAAGCAGTTCTTCTTGAACAGGGAAGTTGCATCAATGCCTCAACACTGCAAGTTTCATCTGTCTATTTGACTCTGTTACTGTTTGAAAACAAATCTCTTTTGTAGGCAAACAGAGCAGCTGTCTATTACAAGAGAGTTCTATTGCAATAAAGGTCACTGGGGAATGCACTACTAAATGCATATAAATGGGATAGGTGCTCACCAATTAACTCCATCTGCTTCTACCCATGCAAAGCGGTATTCATTGACCCTGAGCATCAGCTGCAGACATCCAGCAACACACTGTACATACTGGGAACTCTGGGTGAAAAGAACAACACTTCTTACCAGAAGAGTCAGGTAGTAAGAGCTGAAGTACAGTTTCCCTAATTATGCTTTACTGGCATAAAAGGAGAGAGTTCTGAATATTAAAGAAGTGTTATGCAAGCAATACCACTTTACATTATCAGAATATTTGAACATGCCTTCCTTCAGTATCTATGAATGAAAGCTGTCTTCTGTTTGAATAAAGTTGCCAGAGCATGTTTTTCTCTCTTCTTACTCAACTGTCAGCATTACCTTCACTGATTCTAATTGTACATTAATCAGATATGCTGCTGATAAAATCTTGTTTGCTTTTTTCCTCCCTATAAGCCTTTTCCTTGAAATTCTCATAGTAGCTCACCCACATAATACAAACTCAAACCTTTCAAACATTTAATGAAGTAAAGAAGTTAGGCAATCCCATATGAAAAGAAAGGAGGCAATAAACAGAATTGAAAATAAAAAGTAACTCATTCTGTGTCTCTCATGAGAGATTTAAGTCCTTTATGTAAAAGCTAAGTCTGTGCATCTAGGCTCAAATCATCTAGAAGATCAATTTCCCTGTGAAAGTATTCATTTTCACACTCCATGCAAATAAAACAGCTACAAACACACAGACAGCTCTCCCGCTCCAAATAATGCATTAATTTATCTGGATCACCAACCCATTTAACTTGGAGTTTTCTTTTTAAAGAGTCTGTCATAAAAGCATTGTCTTCCAGCACCATTATAATTGAAATTTCATAATAAGATTCCAGTTCTCATTTCCTGTTAAAATGCTACAACTGCATCTCTAATTTACTCTGAAATTAGCCAGGACCAGCTTGAAAATCCTGCATAAGCTAGATCTGAATCCAAGCACTAACGAAGTTAAGACAATACTTACCCACTTTAATTATCTAAAACATATTTGCACTCTGCTGCTCTGGGTCCCTGCCATGGCTCAGTACATCCATACAGTGCCACAGTGCAATGAATACTGATTTCTGAGCACGTCAGAAGAGCTCATGGCTTCACAGTAAGTGCTGCTGTGTGCTGCAGAACTATATATTCTTTTATGGCTGTATGACAAAAGGCTGTCAGTCTAACGACACCTAACGCAATGGAACACAGATCTGCGCATGAAATACTTCAACTTACATGCTCAGGCCATTGTTTTATGCCCTACCCAAAGTCATGAACAACACTCTGGCATATTTTCTACTTTAAGCCCCAGGTGGGCTTAAAGTAGAAACAAACCTCCTTTAAACCTCCTCCTGTAGAGGAGGTTTCTCCTCTACAGGAAGCTAACACTTTAAAGCCATGACTACACTTTGAAGAACAACAAATCCCAAGTTAAATCTTCTGAGAAACTGTGACCACTTTCAGGCTGTAAAATGAACAAAAGACCAAACTGAATTGTACTCCATGTTCAAGAGCTATCATCAACTGCCTCATCATGCCACAACACCACAGAAAATCCAGTCAGGGTGATCATTTGCATTTGTTATACTGCCTCAGTTCATTTCCAAGCCCAGCAGCTTTTACAGCTACAGGAAATTCAGTATTTAAAAAAATGTTGATGCTAAAAGGACAATCTGCTTTCCTCTGAACTCAAGCTACTCAGATATGAAAAGCTTACAGCTTTGAAAGGACTCCTGCAATTTCATGCTACAGTGCTTTATGGGCAGTATCAGCTTTAATATCTGATGTGCCCTTTTCTGAGTTCTGCACAGCACAACAGCCAAAAGCTTCTCAGTTTCAGGTTTCTTCAACAAGTCCAACAGCTCAGTGGTAAACAGACAGTACTGAATCACAGAATCATTTGGGCTGGAAAAGACCTCTAAGATTACCAAGTCAGGGACTTAAAACTGTTTGAATATTAAATTAATTTTATATAATTTTTTCAAATTTTAACAAAGAGAATCCTAGACACATCAGCAGCTTTAACAAGACAAACTAACTTGTAAAATATACACTTCCACTGCCAATATTCTATGTGAAATGAAGTGCTTAAAAATACTTTTGTTTCTTGGCGCCATCACCTGGCACTCTGCTGCACAGTTCTGATTCCAAGTACTTCTTATCACTGGCACCAGAAGAGATCTGCACGTTAATCCGAGGAGTGAACATCACCTGCCCAAAATAGCAGATTTACAGATTCCAAAGATATACTCACATCACTTGTGGAGACTGCTCCTGAATCCCCTGTACCACGTAGTTTCTAGGAAAAAAAAAAAAAAAGTTTAAAATCAGAGTTGCTCTTCACCCTTAAGGAACAGCTGTTACCAAGTTTCCTTCAGTTCTCCAATCTTTCTAGTCATAAAAAAAAAAAATTAGAATCTATTCAATATTTTTCCTGCTTAATATATTAACCTAATATATTGTACTGATTTCCCACACACACTTCTTGTCTAGAAGAACAAGCTTGGAACTGATCTGGTACATCAACATTTTTAATGATTTAAGTGTGTATTTATTCAAGACATTTATTTATCTTAGAATTTGAAAACTGTACTCTTGCACCTTTCTGAAGGAAACTCCAACTTAAAGATTCTCATTCCAGAGGGGAAAAAAAATTCTTTTTTAATAAGCCCAGTTTAGAAAACTATGAAAAATATTCCATTAATAAATATGAATGTTTCTCGGCTCTCCAGAATCCACTTCTACTACAGCACTAAGAGGAATGAGTGACAAATCCCTGTGTTTTGAAGGAAAAATGTCCAGAAATTAATGCAAAGGAGAATGATTCATCTTTGAAGGACAAGCCAGAAGTTCATGGTTCAAACAGAGCCAATACTATAAAAAAACTGTCCAAGTAGCTTGGAATTTATTCAGTTTCAAGACACAGGACTAAAAGTAAAGGCTTTGTACTACAGTAAACTGGAAAAAGGTTTTGATATTCCATTTCTGCTGCCATGTTACTTTTCTTCCAAGCAAAAAACTCTGATAACCAAAATAGTAGAGGCAAGACAACAAACTCTCATCTCATATTTTCTCAGTGTCCAGAAGAAAAAAGACAGTGGTAACCAACAGAAAAGACAAAAATATTTATTATTAATTTACATTTCAAGGACTGGAGTAAAACACTTAAAATACTAAGCTAAAAAGTAAGTGCCTGAATAAAGAATATTTAGCTTTAAAATGACAAAGTAAAATATCATTAAAAAAAAAAAAACAAAAAATACTCCTCTTGTTTGCACATTTATACATTCATATTCTTCAGAAAGTTTCCAAAGTTACTATGAAGTTTAAACAAGAGCAGCTTTTTACCTGTGAACTAAGCTGAGTTTTAATCCAGTTGAAATAGTAATTCAAGTCACTGCCTTCCATAAGCTCCCTCCCCCAAGCAGCCAGTTTGGCAATAATTCTTGCTGCCTGAAAAAGAATGCAATAAACCAATTTTTCAAACACAGCAATTTCAGAATTCGGTGAGAAGTTCTCTAAACTTTGGAAATCAGTTTTAGATAAAAGTTAGTCCCTTACAGAAATCTACCTGTTTTCTATGGAGGGGACACTTTGTGCCTGTTATCAGTTACCTGTAGCTGTTGAAGTTCACATTGCACCAGTGAAGAACTCAGAAGGAGGTAGAGGGAAGCTGTCGATGGGCTACTGCTGTAGGGTACTACTAGAGTCAGAAATCAATCAAAAGCAAGACACTTGGTGGCCTAACACATGCAGGCTTGATTTAAGCAATGTGGCATATGCCAGTACAAATGGTAACATGGTATTGAAGGTTTTTGGTACTTAAACTGAAGGAAGTCATCTTCAAGAAGGGAGAAGTTTCAAGCCCAGAAAAAGAAGAGTGGAAAAGTAAAATGGAGAGTACAATTTAAGAATGAAGTTGGGGAGTAAAAATGTGGTCAGGTTAAGAATTTTCATTATGCCTATGGCTTTAAGAATACTTAAACAAGAGTATGTTTCTACATCAGACTTTCCAAATCATATTTGAAGTCAATCTACACTGCAGCCTGCAGTTAATTTGCAAAAGCATTTGAGCCAGCTTACATATAAAGAGACAGTGCAACCAAGAAATTACTGAAGCAGGGGTTCATTTGCATGCACACAGTCTCACGATGCAGTGAGGACAGTATTCCAGCCACCTTTCACCTTACTGCATTCACATGTGCAGCAGCACCACCACCACTGATTGTAGAGGGATTACAAGTATGAGTCTGGAACAAGAATTGCTACATTAAAATGTGTCAGATCCCCTTCTTAATGCAAGTAAGTCACCCTAGAAAATCCCTCCAGCTTGAAAACACAAGATATTAGCTCTCTAGTCAACAATTCTTCTGAGTTAAAACTGCTATCTGACTCCTGAATGAGAGACCATTTATGCTTAGCAGAATTTGAGCCTACACAGAGGATGAGTATTTTTATCTGTCTCATCAGATGTAATGATGTGGCATCAAAAATCTTCCAGAGTGCATAGTAAGGAGAAAAATAAACCAAACAAAAATCACACAATCCTGAAATTTGTGTTTAAAAACATTCATGTGCTTTAAAAAAACATGCACTGTACTAAAAGGTAAAATAGGCAGGAAACTTAAATAGTGTCCACTTTAAGTGGATTCTCTTCACATAAGAGTCTCTGTGTCTTGTCAAGTTATTTGTATATTTTTGCCGTACCTAAAGAAAACAATATCTGAATAACACAAATCTGAGTAGAGAAATGCTGACCCTCAAAATTTCTATACCATATGTTTAAAAAACACCATTCCAGGGAGACTAAATAGTTTGCACTGCAAGGGTCTAAAATTATGCTTTACCTGCCTATTTGGGCAGTCAGCATTGTCTGAATGCCCAAACTGCAGTTTTGCAGGATGGGTCTTCAGTAGCACTACCACCAAAAAACTCACAAAACAAACTGCATTGGCCAATAAAGAACCCCAGCCACCTCCTCCCTCAGATACATCAAGAAAACTGATTCACATCCATGCAGTCAACCTGATTAAATAAACAAAGCAAGCCTGACATTATTCTTGAGAACAAGCCAGCTCACTATTCAACTTGCAGTACAGCCCCAACACAGTTGCACTGGCCACATCCCAGGGCAAACAGCATGGCTTGCTTGGTGTCCTGGAATCCTTGCACCAGTTCTGCCCCCACAGCCTAAATGGAAACCAGGTAGTGGGTTTCTAGTTTGAGTCTCTGATTTGACTCTACCATATCATTCCAGCACAAACATATGCAGTGTAGAAAAATTCATAGCTGTGCAGTTTTCTCTTCCTCCAGCCATAATATAAGTTTCACTGTTGGAAACTGTGGTGTCCACTAGGAACTTACAGTAATACAAACGTATTTTTGGCCCACAAGAAAAAAAATAAAAACTGCTGAGATGAAATATTGAGTTCTCACCACTGACAACAGAAGAATATTAAGATTCCAGAAAAGCTACTCCATATACAGGAGCAGCAAACAGTAGTAGTAGTCAAAGCACAGCAGAAACAATACACTGCACATGGCTGTGGGTTTGGTTGGGATGGACTTAATTCTCTTCATAGCAGTCCATATGATGCTGTGGTCTAGACTGGTGTCCAAAACAGTGCTGGGAATGTGTCAGTGTTTTAGCTGCTGCTGAGCAGCACTGGAACAACATCAAGCACTTCTCTGTTTCTCACTCTACACTTCCAGTGAGTCAGCCGATAAACTGAGCATATGACAAAATAAGGTTCATCGAGGTAAAGATATTTCCTTTGCACAAGATGAGACTTTAAATTCTAATATTTTACAGCATTGAATGGCAGTTATGATAAAAATTTTCAGGTATGTTTTACTGTACTTATTGTTCTGAAGTCCCTACTTTTCTGAATTTTTAAAACCTGCCCAGAAATAAACCAATGCCAATCTCCCAGAAATAAACCAATGCCAGTTAACAATGTAACTTAGCTTTTTAAAATGTGGTCAGGTGACACTTATATTAAGAATGACTCATCCAGACTGCAAAAAGAAAACTTTCCAGTCCAGGCAGAAGTTTAGTTTCAAATTCCAAAACCTCCTGAAGAAAAAGAGAACCAGCATTTTTCTCTACCACTTTCAGAGACAGGTTCATTTAAAACTTACCATATGCACAGTGAAGAGATCTTGTCGATTCAACATTGGCAGAAAATAGGACCATGCAGTGTTTTTACCACGTTTTGCATAATCAAAGAAGATGCAAACACGCTGATGATTTTCCTGTAAAAATTGAGAGAGGAACAGATGACAGATTTGTAAAAGCATTTGACATAAAGCAGCTATTTGCTCCTTGGTATGTTGGCATAGATTATCAGAGTGTATCCTGGCTTGTAAGAGCCCACAGAAACTCTTCAGTTATACTGAAAAATTTCTTGTGGCTACAGCTCATTTCAGCACTAAGACTGGAGAGGAAACAAACCTTGAAGCCTCAAGTATCAGTACTGCAATACCTGCTTGAGCAAACCACATATTCTTCTGAACATGCAAGTGGAGTAAGGCAAATGAAAAATAACATAAATGCTATCATTTTTTAAGAATGACACTACCTTTCATCTAATCAATTATGCTTGTTCAAAGTCCTCACAAAGTTTTCAATGTACTGCTACTTCCACACAAGAACCTGTTGTTCAACTTCTACAAGTGGAACACTAGGGGTGTAAGTGAGCCTTTCCATTCCTCTCAATGGGGAATCAGCTCTTCTCTCCTAGATCAGGCTGCAGCTGATTCAGCAGTTATCTCAGGCAACCTGCATATCTCTAAGAGGACACTGCCACAAGAAGTCTGTTCTCCAGGGCTCCAACCCTGAGCCATAGAGACCACAACTACCTGAGCTCGGGCACTAGGGACAGCCTCTTCAAGTATTTTCCCTAATAATCACTATGTAAAGCAGCTATTACAGTTCTCTTTACAGCAGCCAGAGAACAGGCCATACAATCATGAAGGAGAAAATCTCTGCTGTTTCCTAATAGCCTAGAATGTGGACAGACAGTCCCAAAAAAATCTCACATTTGAATTCTTGCTTTTCCTCAAGCATTTCCATATGCATTCCAGCCAGGCTTCCTGGTGGATTGGAAGCTTTCCTTCTGAAGAGATGTCTCCCCATTGAGGTCAAACTACTACCACTAAGTACACAACTACTATGAAGAAAGGCAAATGAGAAACTCACAAAAAGACAGTATCTCAGTCTCCACTGTGCAGACATTTTAATTTTCAAACTCCCTTAGCTAGAAAGGCTTTTCTCCATCAATTCTGCACCCTGTTATTAACTCTAGGGATGAAGAGCCAGCTAGGCAAGGTTCTTTGCTGGAATACGATCCATTAAGCACAAGACAACCCGAATGTATCCATGATTCAAACAGTGGCATCTTACGAAGCCTTAGAGCTTCAACCAACCCTTCCTTAAAAGTTACCTGAAAAAACAAGTTTTCTCACTTTTACTCTTCTGATTCTCTTCCCCATCCCCCTGCTGCAGGAGTGAGTGGCTGTGTGGTGCTCAGCTGCCAGCAGGGTTTGAGCCACAGCAGTATTGCACCACACAGGCTGCAAATTGCTGCCCTGATCACTGACTGGGGAAGCTCAGATGGCACCAGTTACCTGCCAGTTATAACCCTGACAGTGATACATTTTCTACATGATCTACATTTTCTACATAAAAAAGCACCCAGAAATGTTCTCAAAATTTGATGTAAAAATTATGAAATAAATAAAAGTAACATCTCAGGAACACAGAGCCTTTGGTGAAGAGTTTTTACTCTGTGAGCTCTTGCTTGATGAGAAATGGCAGTTTGATCAAATAAATCACTGTTAGCATCTGAATGTGCTAAACAGTCTAGCTAAGAAGGATCAAAACTTACCAGATCAATGAGTTCAGTTTACAACATTACTAAGGAGGAGACAGACAAGTCTGGAAGCAGAAATGTTGAAATAATTTCAACATGCTGTCAGTCAGAAGACTTGTCTGGTTTGCTCTTAAGGTGCAGGATCAAGACAGAAGGGAAGGAGTGGAAAACTCCCCACGGCCCTGAAATATGTAGTGTTGCACCTTCCAAGGAAGCTACTGACTACACTGATGAAAAGAAAATTCTGAAGCTCTCGCATCAACAGTTGAATAATTTAGCACCTGTCATTTCTGAAGAAGCATAATGAAGTTCAGGAGATACTGCTACCTGCACCAACTAGAGTGAAGGTTCTTAGAGATTTCATAAGTAACAGACTGCAGTGTGACGAGGTCACTAATCCAAAGAAATTGTTTCAAGAATTTATCAGATGAAGAGAGGAAGAAATGTTTCCTCAAGGATGGCAATATGCTAACACTTTCCACCTTCTGAAGTAAGCAGAAGGGTGATAATCTTATATGGTAAACACAACACTAATTTCATGTTTGCCAGTGTTCAAAATAAATCTTTCTTACAAAGGTCATCAAATCAGTAAGTAGAACTGCTGGAACAATCCTAGACACCCAAGTAAGCTTTTGGTGAGCTCAAAACAGAGTTGACATAATTTTTACTACTTCACAAGCAAAGAACAGAAAGATAATAGAAGCACCACAGTCAGTTATTATCAGACAAAAGCTGAATTCTGCTACCTGCGATAGTTTTTGAAAGTTCCAGCTGTCAAAAGCAGCTTCAAATATTATTTGTTCATCTCATGAAACTGCAGCAAACATACTTTCTCAAGGCAAAATTTACTTGGAGTCAAGGCCATGTCCTTGAACAATTTCTTGCTTAAAATCTTTGAATGTACTGAATTAGGATGAGTCAAACAAAGATCGGAGACTTCATACCCACCACAAGAAAAATGGGGCAAGACTATTTACATGAGCATGTACTGACAGGACAAGGGGGAATGCTTCAAACTGAGTAGGTTTAGGTATTAGGAAAAGATTGTGAGGGACTGGAACAGGTTGGACAGAAAAGCTGGGGATGCTCCATCCCTGGAGGTCTTCAAGAACAGGGTAGATGGGGTTTTGAGCAACCTGGTCTAGCTGAAGGTATCTGTACCCACAGCAAGGGGCCTGGAACCAGATGTCTTCAAGGCACCTTTCTAACCCAAACTATTCTGATTCTATGATACTGTGAGTTCCTATGTCTGGGCAGTCTGCAGAGACCCTGCCCTAAATTCACAGTCACCTTGCCCTAAATTCACCATTATTGGCCAATATGCTGCTTTCTGACAAGAATCTTACACCTTGAAAATGTGCCATGTGACACACCACGGGCTGTATGTTCCAACCCCTAAGTGTGACCAAAACAAAACAGAAGTCCTGTTTCAGCCTTGCAGAGTGGAGTTATCACAAGTTAGGAAACTCTGAGATAATGCCATGTGGATGCCTTCACACAAGCCTTCTATGCCAGCATCCCTGAACCCCTGAATAATGCAATCACACACAGCATTGCAATTCAGTACAGGCTTTTGGATACTGAAGCAGAATTTCTAAAGAGAAAAAGGCATTAAATTCCAAACAAAAGCAAATATGTAGCGTGCACCAATATCTCTACTCTGCTGTATCACTATAAAGCCTGAATAATTTAAAGCCATTACATTTAACATTAAGAATTCCATATATGCCACTTCTGGGACAGGGTAAGGCCCAAAATGCAGCCATGTCATAAAGTCAAGAAAACACATACATCTAACCACTTACGACAGAAACAATAGAGCAAAAGACAGGCTACTCAAAACTGCTTTCTGTGACTACCTAGAACTATTCCATCTGTTCAAAAGTGGGCCAGTGAAAGCATTACCTGTGGGGTATTAATTCCACAGCAGAGGAGATATCATCAGCTATCATCTACTCTAGCTGCAGGCCATCTGCTAATGCCAAAGCTCATTAGCAAAACAAGGCCTATGAATACTCACAAGTACTCAAGTACTGAAAAAGGGCAAGTGAAATGATGACTTCTCTGGCCACTGATGCACAGAAAGCAAGACCCATTCCTCACAAAAGTAGCCATAATAAACAGAGTTCTCACACACTGAGCCGAAGTTTGTCATCCAATGTGTAAACCAAAACAAGGTATTCCCAACCCAGTGTCCTAATCAAAGAATGATACTGAGGACACAGTATTTCTGAGAAACAGAGGTCTTCTCTTCTTCTCAACGTTTGTGTCACACTTGACAAAATGTAAAACTTAATGAGAAAAAGTGACCAAGCTGCAGACAAGTAAATTGCTGCCACCACCACTAGCTATTATCCTATTAGTCCAGATGTCAGGGCACTCACTTAGGGCTCTATTGTGCAGACAGGCACATGAAGGAACACCATGATCCCCATGTTATACAAACTGTGGAGAGGTTCACGCTTTTCAGCTTGCCTGTTGTAGTACTGAGTAGTCACAGCAGGAACTAGAACTCATTTGGTTCACCTCCTAGGGCAATACTCTAAACCAACAGCACTAAACACACTTCACTGAAACCTGGGATCAAATAGATCATAAAACAGGAGAAGAGAAACTATCAAACACACATAGTATATGTGAATACTAGGAAAAAACCCTCACGTAACTCATCTTGTTACATCGCTCCAAATGCCTTCTCTTAGTCAACTTCAGAGCAAGGAAACATAAAAGCAGGATTATCTGACTAGGTAAAGCCTCTTCTTGAGTTATCCCAATCAGCTCAACAGTCTGAGACAAAGTTTAATAGCCTGCTCATATAAGGCACTGTTGTCCACAGCTACAAAGAGCTGTATGTTACACTGAATTAAAAGTTCCTCATTTATAATTAAACCATCCAGAATTTCAGAATATGTTCCAAATAACCTAACTTATGTTGGAAACCTTATGCTGCAGAAACTACACCTTCTTGCTGAGGGTAGCCAAATTAACACCTTCAAAGGAAAAGCTTTAACAACTTCATATTCTCCCTATACCACAGGAAAGGGCTGAGGTCACAAGTCACAGAACTTTAGCATTGTTAAGGTTGGGAAAGACCCTTAAGATCACCAAACCTACCATTAATGTAACACAGACAAGTCTAACACAAAATAAGCTGATATATCAAATGTAAAAAGTATTTAGAAAAAAAATCTGCAAATTAAGATCACATAAAATGAAACTACTATGCAATATTAGCCTTAACAACCAAGTTTTGAATTAAACATAGTTGAGAACAAACAAACAAGCATAAAAGTTTGTTTTATTTCCAGAATTTGAACATATTACAAGCTAAGTTAGCCTTATAACTTGAGGTCTAACATTTCATCTCTGAAGACAGGATCTGAAAATTTAGCAGAATATTTTTAACACAGTATGACAAACACCTGAAAATACATGAATTACACTAAGGAAACATTCAAGCATGCATTTAAAGACTTAAAAATAATACAGATTATTGACCTACTTGCAGCATATCATCAACCATAGTCAGAATGTACTGAACAGTCTGTTCCTTGGAGATATGAGTCATCAAGTTTATAAATGTTTTAGCACACTAGAAAAATAAAAGAGACATTAAAATTAATATTAGCAATTGTCTTTGTTCCTTTTGATAATATAAAACAGGATCTTATTAATTCACAGTTAAGTCTTACATAAGCATTGAGCATCCCAACATCTTATTCAATTGCAGTAAGAGATGAATACATTTGACATTATCTCACAAAGAAAATTCCCTGTCACTTTGGTTGCTACCCTTTACAAATTGTTTTATGGCTTTCAAATTAAATAAGTACTTGCTAGTGAAAGTCACCAACATACTTGGTTGCAAGTCAGATTAGAAAAGCCTCCCCCAGCACCCTTCTTTTAATGGTAGTGAGATCAAGTAAACTGACAGAACAGCAACTAAGAGCACAAAAAAAGTTTCAGCAGTTTGAATGGAGGGAGGAAGACAGGTAACTCCCCTATTCGCTTACTATATAGTAAGAAAAGTAAGTATGTAGAAAAATCTTTGTTCCTCTTTGAAGACTGTTACAATTTCAGCAATATGCTGAAATAGTTACAACATTACTTTTTACACTTCTTCCTCCCCCTTCACCAAATTCAGCTAAACCACAAAGAAAATTGAATGTTGAACTGCTACATTGTAATTATGTAGTAACATATAAAGTACACCACATGTTTTTGGTACTATGCAAACTATGATCCATTAGATAACAGTAACACACCCTAATTTCAAGAGAAGAGAAATACAAAACCAAAACAAACAGCCTAAAATTAAAGTAGAAAAAATGGCCATAAATGTTTGTGTTTTGAAAGCATCTACACTTCCCCTTCCTCACTGCCTCTCCCAATCCTCTTGATGTCTGACATTCTGTGCTAGAACCTCAGACTGAGATTCTACTGATTCAAATGTTATTGAAGTGCCTTTGGGCATCCTGTCTGGTCTCCATAAGGGCAAAGGACTGATTCAGTCCTAATCAGCTCTGTCCAATGCAAAGGTCTCTTATCTTACCATGCCTTAAATGACAAAAGACACCCATGTCCAAGTGAATCCACCTTAGCAGTCAATGGACTTCATGCTCTAACTAATTATAATTGCTTAGCTAACTAAGCAGCAATCTTACTGGTAGCAGCTGTCATCAATAAACTATAAAGAAAAAAATCTCAAAAAAAAGAAGTGACTCAAGTACAAGTGTGCATGATTAAGTAAACTGGGATGAGGGGGAGCAGAGATCCACCTGCAGTCCATCAAGGACATCCTTGAGCTAGTTAGTCCCACAACAGAGTCAAAGGCAGATGATATTTAATTATTTAGTAGGTTTTAAATATAATGAAATAACATCCAACCCAGATCTAAGGAAAAATAAAAGAATCACGATAGTAAGCTTTATACTTATTCTAGAACATCTTAATTGTATGCATACAGTTAACAACAATAAAATAAGAGTAGATTTGAATATTTCCCTCCTCCCCAAAAGAGACTTCATTAAAAGAAAGTTACTTGATTGCCTTCTGTTTGCAACAACTCCTGTTTTTCTTCTGGATTTCTTTTCTGTTCAAATCGCTGAATAAATTCACAGTCTTCACCTGAAATCATCTGACCTCTGAAAAACAAAGCATTAAACTGTAAGTAACACGAACAGTAAGTTGGAAATAGCTGTGCTGGGTTCGCATGGCAAGGCTGTGTTAGTAGGGGACTGCTTGGATGGCTCCTATGAGAAGACACCAGAAGTGGCCCCTGTGTCAGACAGAGCCAGTTCCAGCCAGCTCCAGGACAGACCCACCATGACCCAACCTGAGCCACTCAGTAATGACAGTAGCACCTCTGTGATAACACATTTAAGGAGTAAAAACTGCTGTGCAACAGCAGCTGAGACAGGACTGAGGACACGTGAAAGAAACAACTCTGCTGACTGCCAGATCAGTGCACAAGGAGGGAGAGAAGGTGATCCATGTGCCAGAGCACAGATTCCCCCGCAGCCAGCCTGCGGTGAAGACCATGGTGAGGCAGCTGTGCCCTTGTGGCCCATGGAGGTCCTAGGGGGAGCAGAGATCCACCTGCAGCCCATGGAGGTCCTGGGGGAGCAGAGATCCACCTGCAGCCCATGGAGGTACTAGGGGAGCAGAGATCCACCTGCAGCCCATGGAGGTACTAGGGGAGCAGAGATCCACCTGCAGCCCATGGAGGTCCTGGGGGAGCAGAGATCCACCTGCAGTCCATGGAGGACACCCATGCTGGAGCAGGCAGATGTGCCTTACAGGAAACTGCAGTTCATGCAGGTTTTCTTGCAAGACCTGTGACCTTGTTTTCTTGCAGGGCCTGGAGCAGTACATGCCTGGAAGACTGGAATCTGCAGAAAGGATCCATGCTGGATGAGTTTGTGAATGACCATCAACAATGAGTAGGACACCTCAGGATGGAGCAGGGGAAGAGTGTAAGAAGGAAGGAGCAGCAGAGACTGAGTCTTAAAAAATGGCCACAGCCTCCATACCCCACTCCCCTACACCACTCAAAGCAAGGAGGCAGAGAAGCTGAAGCCAACTTGAGCCTGAGAAGAAGGGAGACGGCAGGAGGTGGTTCTTTGATTTTTTCCTATTTTTCATTAACCTACTCCATTTAAACAGCAATAAACGAATTTAATTTCACCACGTAGAGCCTGTTTTGCCCATGATAGTAAGTGGTCAGTGATCTCCCTGTCCTCACACCTCAACCCGAGCTTTTTGTCATGCTTTTTCCCCTGTTCTCTTGATGGAGCAAGTGTGTCCTATCCTGATGGACACCTAGTGACCTGCCAACATCAGCTCACCATATAAACCTTGTTTCCTTCATCTTGAGCTATCATAGAATCATAAAATAGTTTAGCTTGGAAGCAACCTTGAAGAGCCCAGTCCAACCTGGCCTTTAACTCATCCAAGGATAAAGCAGCCACAACTCTCTGGGCAGCCTGTTCCACTGCTTTACCAACCTTGCAGTTAAGAATTTCTTCTTAACATCTAATCTAAACCTTCCCTGCTTCAGTTTAAAACCATTGCCCATTGTTCTGTCACTATATGCCTGTACAAAAAGTCTCTCTCCCTCCTTTTCGTAAGCCCTGCTGAGGTACTGGAAGGGATCCCCAAAGTCTTCTCTTCTCCAGGCCAAACTACTCCAACTCTCTCAGCCTGTTTTTGCAGGAGATGTGCTCCAGCCCTCTGATCATGTTGGTGGTCCTGCTCCAACAGGTCCATGTCTTTGTTGTGCTGAGGACCTCAGAGCTGGATGCAGCATTTCAGGCAGGGTCTTGCGAGGGCAGAGCAGAGGAGATACAGCATTGGTAAAGTGATATGGTTGATACTGTAGCCCACAACAATGTAACAGGCTCCTTCCTGCAAAGGGTCTCATGTAAAAAAATTTAAAACTTATGGTGGAATAATCTCTCAAAAGTCTTCCCTATGCATCACCTCTGAACAGCATTCTCCAAATAATTTTTAAACTTCCAGGGGCTGAACGCAATGTCAGTTGTAAGAACTGAATTACACACAGCTAGCATGTTATGCCAAAATGATAATACATAACATGAGTAACAGTCTAATCCAACCAAGAAATAAGTGCTGAAAAACAAAATTAATTGTTACTTTAAGTTTGCTGTAAGCACTGAAGAAAACTGTAAGGAGAACAGAGATCATGGTTCCTAATTTATTTTTAGCTTTCACTAATCCCATCTTGAGTTTAAAAACTGATATGCATGCAAGTTCATCTAAACACATAGCAAGGGGGTTTGATATAGTGAACTGTTGTGGACACCTCTAAGATAACAGATGTCTACTTAATCTTCTCTTGAACTTAATGTTCAAGTGGTTACTGCCATCATCAGTGCTATTTCAGAAAGCTGTAGACTCAGCTGAGGAGTCAGACAGACTGGCAGAACACTACTGGGGTTTTTTATAATACAAAACTTCACATCACAAGAAATAAAAAAAATTGTCAAAATAGCACAGTCAGGTACTCTTCAGGTAAGAAAAGTAATTTTAAATCAAGTAGTCCTAAAATTATCCAAGATTTTAATAGGTGACTATCTTTACTAGATAATACCAAGAGGGCTTCAGGAAAGAAGAAAATCACGCACAGTCACAGGGGATGAAAGCATTAGACACTCCTGCTTCAGTTATTTCCAGGACTCATCTCCTTTTAATATTTCCACTGAATGAAATGCCTCTTCCACTTTGCAAAGCTACAAAGCATGGACTCTTCACCCATCTTTTCCATATTCAAGGTCAGTTTTCAGATGTTCCATGACTAGAGATTACATTAAAATCATTGTAAACTTTGCAGGAAGTGTTCACGGTTTTTTTTACCCAACGGGCTCACCTGGATTCTTGAAACAGAAAACTAAGACCTACAATGAGTTTTTTTTCTTTGCTCTTACTTGGATGATTATGTCTTGAGTATGGCCTCATCACAGAGCCACCTTTTATCTATTTACTATTGAAGCAAAGAACATAGGTATTGCAGCTGCTTTGTTACAGATATCCTCACATGCACTGAGGAAAGACAACCAAGATTTACTAGAGGGAAGATTCGTAAAGCCAGTGGTAGGATAGCCCTTGCCCAACTTCTGCAAAAATTATTGAATTGAATTATTATAGATGAATCATATCATATGTGATTGGCCAATGATGATCGTGCTGCTACCATGCCTTTTAGACTGACCTATGCCCTTTCTTGCCTATTAAGGTTGGATTTAAATAGTTATGGAAAGAGCTGGACAATTCATCTGCCACAAATATTGAATTTAAAGACCCACAACTAGAAGCCTCTTTTGTTCCAAATAATGCTGACCAAGCCAGGGATTCATGGATCATACTGATACAAAAGTAACCAGATAAGCTGCTTGTTTATAAGAATATTGCCATTTACAAAACACTTCAAAGATGACCTAAGACGAACCCTTAATTTTCAGCTTTAATGACGGAGAAAGCCTCAGCCCATGAAGAGAGATACTTCTTTGCAGTCAGGCTATTAGAAGAGGTCTGCCAACTGCAAAGGAAAAAAGCTTTCAAGCTTTTGCTTTTATCATACATTAGGCCACAGGAAACAAAGAAAAAAGATGTGGGGATTGATATTGCTGTTAAAGGAAAAAAAAGACATTGAAGTTTATTCTCTATCGCTTTGTTAGTGCCATTCAAAAATACATCTTCCAACCCATACAAACATTACAAGGGATCTGACAGCTTTTTAAACAAGCTGTTAATATTTTATCAACAAACTCATACATCTGATTAATAGTTTTAGTAATTTCAAATGCATCTATTTCCATTCATCTTATTTTAAAATTGAAATGACTGATTATACAGTAAACCTTAAAGGGGGGGGTTTTAAGAAAAACCAAGCAAAAATCATGAGAAAGTGCAGAACAGCCTCAGACTCAGACAGCTGATACTGAGTCCCATGATGCTATTACACATTTTCCTCACCCTCTCTTCAAAGCAACAAAAATTTCCCAGCACCTTTTAGCAAACAAGCAACCAAAGCCTTCTTCCATCCCTCTTCCTAGCAGCCATTTAACTTGTTCTTTTCCAGGATGTGTCTTCAGTCTTTTGCCAAGATGGAAGTCCCTTTCAGCTTCAGCTGTGTCCTGGTTTCAGCTGGGATAGTTAATATTCTTCCCAGTAGCTGGTACAGTTCTGTGCTGTAGACCTAGTATGAACCCTTTATTTTTTTTTTCCTCTCTTTTTCTGTTCCATTAAAGTCTCTTTATCTCAATGTGTGAATTTCCCCCTTTTTTTTTCCTCCTGTCTGAGAATATCAGGTTTAGGACAGGAGCCCTGTAAGCACCTTTCAAGGCTCTGTTCTGGGGATACCAAGAGCTGCCTTTGAGAGCACTTGCTAGAGGAGACAAAACTGAAACTCAAGGATTCAGAAAGCATGAATTTGCAAGACCACCATTTTTAAATCCACCTGATCACTCAATATGACTCAGAATCTTGTGATTACTTCTTTCAGTTGTGCACTTCCTCCATCAACTCTTGTTCCTTTTTCTTGTTTTTTTTTTTGTTTGGATGATTTAGCAAGACACTCTGAAGGTTAGGGTATTTTTGTTTGGTTTTTACTTTGTTTTTGGGTTTTTTATATTAAAAAAATTGACTATCTATGCAGCCAATATGAAGCTCATATGAGCCCACCATATCAAGGCATAATTTCTTTTATCTAGGTATCTAAGTACTTTGCATGTACTAGAGACACTAAATGTATCCAACTGCTCAACAGTTTTAGCACTACAAAATTAAAACAGTAAAACAGACTGAATGTACTCTACAAGACTCAACCAGATTTGAGGGAAAAAAAAAAAAAACAAACTACAAAACAAAACAGAAGAAAATCCCCCACATACTACAAATTAGGAAACTTCTATATTTCCTCTAAGACAAGAGTGACTTTTAAAATGTGACATATTTAACCTGCTTTAGAAGGTTCTTCCACCCCCAGGAAAATAGAACAGATACTTTAGCATCAGAATTCACAAACATGCATGTGAAGTATTTGAAAACACACAGGACACCATGTACAAATTAGCCATCAAGTATCTCATCTGATTAAATAATAAGTACTGTCAAATGCAGTGTATCTAGAAAACCTACAGTGCAGTAAGGTGCAAGGTGAACTCTGAAACAAGTCCAGTTTTCCACAGAACTCATTTACTACCCTAAGAAAGCAAACCCAAACCTGCTTCAAGCAAGCCAACACACCCTCCCCTGGCATTCTGACACTCTGAGGCAAATGCTGAAAGCAACCACACAGAGCAAAAAAGCAAATGGCTTTTTAACTCAAGGAGGGCACCCACACCTCTGAACTGCAACCAATCTCAAGATCCAAAGGCAGCAAAGTTCGCACAGAACTAAAGCTTCCACAGGCAGACCCACACATCACCTTCCACTGCTACAAGTTTGTTACTTTCCTCCCCCTCAGACACGGACCCCAGCTGGAATCCAACATAAAGAAAGGATACATTTTAGCACCAGATTTTTTTTTCCGCAGCCTCATTTTCTAAGGAGCAGTGAACACACAAGGAAGCTGGCAATATAGACAACTGTCATATCTAAGAGTATACAGAAAAAACATCAAAAGTCAGCAGTTGTGTGTTAGTGTAGTTTGATATTCAGTTTACAGTTACAACCTTCAGAGATGGAATAAACACTGTCAGTTAATCTTTAGCTTAAACTGACTCTACAAGAGAAGTCAGGCTACTGAAGTCTGACCAGCTACAAGTGAGCCATTTTACTTTTGCACTGAGGAACAGAGAAAGGAAAAAAAGAACTTCAGATGCCCTTCTGGGTGACCCTGAGCCCAATGCTGTTGCAAGTGATGCAATCTTCAAAGCACCTTTACACACACACAACTGCCACAGGCAGAGGAGAAAAAACACCTCATCAGAATTTCTTGTGAAATTCTTTGACTTCAACTATCTAAGTACTATCTACAGTTTCTTCAACTACATAAATACTGCCTCTAGTCTAAGAAGCATAAATCATGTTTAAGAAGCAAAAATCATGTCACACCTGAGTTGATGTGTTAACTTAGGGAAAAGAAAAATATTTCCTTTCATTTAAAAACATCTGATGAGTTGAAATAATTCCTTCATACATATTTATATGCAAGTTTACCACAGTAAGTGCACAGATAATCAGAACAAGGAGCTCAAAAGAAAGAGAAATGTCCTTTCAAGCACCCCATTTTCCTTCTCCACAAACCAGACCAAAACAAACCACTCTGACCTGCCTCTAACAGGTGCATCAGAGAAAGTACTTTCTACTCATTTAATAGTGTGTTTCATTGCAGAAATGAATCAAATAACTGCACTGACTGACTTTCCAAGAAACCCCTTAAACCTCAGCCTCAAAGACACCATCACATCCAAACCTGTCCATTGTAAAAAAGGACATGTCCAAATCAAGGCATGAGTTTATTTCCTTTGGAAGCACCAAAAGTTCTGCTGATGCTTTTCAATAACTCACTGTAAGGAAACTCCTCAGGCAAAGAAGAAGTTATCCTCAAGAAGCTCCACAATCCCTCTGGCACCATTTAAGTCAGTCCTTGAAGCCAACTTATTCAGACAGCCAGGCTTTGTTCCTCAGTCGATACAAGACAAAAAAATTACATTTATTTCAGAGCAATAATAAAGAGGACACACTGTTATTGACATACAAAGGACACCAAGCCTCAGAAAGTCTCACTCATCCTCTCATAGGATCATAATACCCAGATGTACTACAATAGCCTCCAAAACCTAGCTAATTCCAAGAGAGGAAATAACTAGTTTATTCTTTCTTCATAGATTCCAGAACAAAACCAAGTCAAATTCTACATGTAAAATCCAAAAAGGAACCCTGCCCTCTGGTCAAAAGAAGTTATATAAAAATTTGCTGCCGGATTCATAAACTAAACTCCCTGTTTCACACACTGCACCAGAGAAAGACAATTCCAAGAATAAATTAAAATTACTAACAGCAGACCACATAGCCAAACAAATAATACCACACAAATTCAACTCCTTGTCAAATAGAGCCATCCCCTATACAAAAGTAACAGATTTTTCTCACCAGCCCTATAGAAACACTAGAGAAGTAGAGAAAGAATCTCATATTCATTTCCATGAACAGTGAACAACTAACTGTACTCCCACTTTTATCCTAAGTAACTGCAAACCATCACTGCCACTAGGACAGCACAGGAACATCTGTCCAGGTGTCCTTGGGACACATTCCCTGTCAGACAGACAAAAGGGCACACAGTAACAGCAAAAGCCACTTAGATTGTTTGAGAAGTGCTTGGGAGCTGCCACTGCCAGGTTACCACCCCAACCTTTCTCTTTTGCCTGCAAAGCCACTGAGCACCACACTCAACCAGGAACTGATCCATCTTAAGAATAGCCTAGAAAAAAAAGTTCTCAGAAGATCAGTTCCTTTATGCAGATTTATCATGTGGATATACAATCACATAGAAAAGAATAATACAATTCAATGAAGGGAATAAGCAAGTCTGAAATACACAGGACAGGGCAAAGCAGGTAGTCATTAGTAAGATTCCACTGGGTTAGCATTTCTCAGCTTACATGAGTGCAGTTTTGCAAGGTTATTGCAAATATGACATATTTATATGTACCACAGCAATCTGAAAAAAAACCCTATTTTTTAAAGTGGTATAATGTTGATAATCAGAAAGCATCATCAGTATGGTATGTGTCTCTATAATCATGAAGATTTCTTCCTCTTTAGTTACAAAGCAATTAATTATAAAGTAATTTGCACTTTGTCAATATTTCTCACATACACCTGTCACAAGGAACAGGCTGCAAGAATGTTTCATTTCACTTCAGAGTACAGAGGACTAGTGAAAAGTCTGTTTCTTCTCCCCATTTCCTACCTCACCCATAAAACCTTTCCTCAGCTTGTCTCTATGCCCTCTTGCTTCTCCTGGTGCCATCACATCCATGCAAAAGGAAACTCTGAGCCTGCCTGGAACAGCAGCACAGCTCTCCCCAGACTGAAGCATCTGTTTCAGCCTACTCCCCAATTTGCTTGCTTAAGTTGTCCTCCAGAATTAATGCTCCTTTACTTAAGGTACAGCTTTTTTTCCTGGACTACCACTCCAGTTTTGCTAGTACAATTTGTATTCCCACAAAAAGCACTGCAGCAACAGACATACTATACTTACACTTAAGACAATTATTACTGTAAACACTTCTTAATTCAGCAGTCACCCAATAAGGCTGAAATTGAGACTGGTGTTTGAATTACCAGGCAAAGAAACAGTTTTACCAAACATTTGTGCAAACCTGTCCCATTTGCTATTACAACATTCAGCTGATACAAGTAGAGTTCCCCTTCTGGTAATAAGTCATAAGAAAATTTTCCACAGCCACTTCCATTTAATGTAGATTTTTTCCAACTACTTCCAAGCTGACAGAGCATTCTTCACTGCAACATAATGCTCCACTGGAGCCTAAAATCTCAAAAAGTCTAACACTTAAAGGGGGAAAAGAATGTGGAAATGTTTTACTTACTGGAGATATGACTGCCAGTTTACTTTGTTTGCCCGAACCTCAGCAGCTTTGGCAGCAATGATGTTTGTTGGGACAGCAGCATCCACAGCACCTCTGATATCCATCTTGACTGATAATTAAAGTGTACCTAGAAATGCAAACCAGATTTGAGACCTCTCATTAAACAGCAGAGTATCTGTCTGTTAATATTTTAAAGAAATGAAAAGAAAAATCAGTTTCCAGGTGTCCCATTCCTTAACACTGTACTAGTTAGCTTCTGAAAAAATCCAAGTTTTATAAAGTACTTAAAGCATGGCTTATTGGAAACAAAAATAAGCCAAACCTACACACTCAATCATAAGTTCACTAAAATAAAAGACACAGACCATTACTAAATAACTCCCAGTCTTGTGAATCCTTGAACAATGAAATTAAGTTACTTAAATTAAGGTGCCTCTTCTGCATCATCCAAGTAGCCCTAAAGATAAGAGAACCTGTCTTCTTTCCAGATCTTCTTTCCATAGTTAAAATTCAGCGCATATCCTCCCCACCCCCACACCTTAGGACTGATTTACTTCAGATATTTGTCTAAGAGCATTTAGACATTAGAAACATGCAAACTACAACTTCAGGGAGGAAAAAAAACCCACAAGTATATACATTAAATCCATGCTACACAAACTTAACAAGAAAATCAAGATCATTAGTGTACAGAAAGCAAACTGAAAAATAAATACGGACAGAAGCTCTTTATCAGGATACAGCACATTACCACAGACAGTGACCTTCACCACTTCTTCCCCCTTCCTTTGCGGTTTAAATCTCCACCTGACGTTGATGCCAAAACAAGAAGTGTGTTGGCAGAGACTCCAGATCCAGCTAGAGCTGGAATTGCTTACAGCCTGACCTGTACCCAGCCTCTCCACACAGCCTGTTTCTGGCCTGCTCTGGGGCCCTTACAGACCAAGCAAGAGCAAACTGGCACCTTCAGGCCTATCCCTCACAAACCCACCCTGCCTCTATGACTGAATGAAAATACAGTTTTATCAAAAGAAACCAGAAAAATAAGGAACTATCCTGGGCAGAAAAGGACAAATGCCCTTCCTCTGAAACCACTTCAGTGAGCAGACCCGCACACAGGCGGCACCGCTGTGTCCTTCAGTGCCCACGGAAGGTTCCCAGGCCCTGTGACCCACCCAGAGCCACTCGAACACCGCCCGAGGGCAGGCTCGGTACCAGCGGTTTCGGAGCTGCAGTTGAGCCGCAGCAGCAGCGCCTGAGACAGAGCAGGCACGGTCCTGCCGCTCCCGGCAGGGCTCACCCAGGGGCCCGGCAGAGCCCGGAGCCTGGCGGCAGCCGCGGAGCCCCCGCCAGAGCCCGTGAGGCGGCACGGCCCGACACCAGCACCCACCGCGCCAGGGCCCGGGGCAGCTCCCACTCACCGCAGGGGTGTGCCGGCGGCGGAGGCCGTGCGGGGCCGGAGGGAAGGAAGCGGGGAGGGAATGAAGAGGAGGAGGGAAGGAGAGGAGAGGAGAGCAGAGCAGAGGAGGCCGCGGCTGCCCTGGGCAGCCCGGGCAGAGCGCGCACCCGCCGGCCCCGCCGCCGCCGCCGTCGTCATGTGACGCCGCTCACGTGAGCGAGACGGCGGCCTGCGAGGGACATGCCATCCCACGGCGCCCCGCCCGCGGCTGCGCGCTGTCAGTGCTGTGACTGTCTACCCGTATTTAGAGCACATAAAAATACACATGGGGGTTTGTATGTACCTACACATGCCATAGAGCCATAGGATGGGCTGGGCTGGAAGGGACCTTCCAGATCATCTGATTCCACCGCCCCTGCCATGGATGCAGCTCAGGACAGGGTTGGCTTTCTGGGCTGCGAGGGCACATTGCCGGGTCCTGTTAAACTTCATGCAAACCAACACCCCCAAGTCCTTCTCCTCAGAGAATCTGCTGTCAATCCTTTCCCTGCCCAGCCTGTTTTTGTGTCTGGGATTGCCCTTGAAGCGATACGCAGAATAAATAAACTCCACAACCAGATATAGTTATGAAGTGGGTATGTATGTCAGCGCCCGGCACAAGCGAGATAGCTCTCATGAAAACTTGTGCCGCGAGCCTCAGTCTGACCCACATCTTTATTCACAAAGGTATTCCATATGCAGTACATTTAGACATTAGAAACACAAAAACTACAACTACAACTTTTCATGCATATTCAACCCCTGGCCCCGCCTTCCTGGCCTCGCATGGTAATCACATCCGCGCCCTTGTGGGCACGCGTTGTTTGCTGTGGTGGTAGCACGGGGCTCTCTGGTGGTCTCTGAGGCTGAAGGCTGTGGTCTTCCTCATGACTGAACTGTTGAACTTTTCTACTTTACGCATGCGCTTTGGTCTCTTGGCGCTTATCTGAGTACGTCTGTCGGCCTTGATTAGCTTGGAGAAGGAGGAGTCCCTTTATCTGGGCTCTTTGCATCCCTTGGTCTAGCCTGGTGTTGTTCTTCATGCAAGAAGCTTCAGAAATTTGCATCTTCCTGTGCCCTTTGTAGCATGGCAGAGGTTTCTTAAGTGAAAAGGATAAAATTCAACACATAGTTCTGCAAGCTAAACTTTAAATGCTTAATTTATATTGCTAATTCAAATGAACTCTCTATTGAGAGAGATTTCTAATGAAATCTCTATTTCACCCTGACCCACGTGTGTATACGTGTACGGTTTTACACAGGGGATCTAATCCCTGACTGGGATGGAGCGTGTGCCCACAGGTGCCCACCTGCGCTGTTTGCAGAAATGGCTCCGTTTTTCCGGAGTGTGAAAAACGCCAATCACTCGCTTTTAGAATTTTAAAAGTTTAATAGTAATAAAATGGTTATAAAAATAGTAATATAATTAGAGTAATAAAAATGTGAACAATTGGGATTAAGATAATACAAGACAATAAAAACAAAGAGTTACAGACAGTCCAGGTACCTCTTTCTGGCAAAATAGTCCCGAAAAAGGACCCACGTTAACAGAGGATTAACCCTTAAAAACAATAGCCCATTGCATATTTATACATCTCATACGTGATGCTTAAATTCCATTCAAACACAGGATTCTGTCTGGTCAGTGTCAGCTTCTTCCTCTGAATCCTGATGGCATCTTCAGGGCTGGGCAGGGTGTGAAGGAGTTAGTTTCTTCTGAAAATGGAGCAATAAATTCTTTTTTCTCTGAAAGATTTTGGTGTCCTGTGGCTGCTATCTGGTGCAAGTACCTCATTCCTTTCTTTAAAAAAAATATCTCACATACATAGTTTCTATTTTAACATTATGTTATAACCTAAAACTATATTTAACACACTACTTAAAAAAATTAATACAGCATAACTTTCTAACATAACACATATAATATTCATTTTAATACTTGCAAAAAACTAATCATAAAATATGCATTTTTCACACAGAGACAGCATGAGTCTGGCTGGGAAGGAAACTTGAAACTGAAGGCCCAAGTGTTTCAGAAGCTATGGACTTAAACTTTTATGTTTCTGAGGAAAAAAAAATCTCAGTGCATTCATTTGTTGAGTGAGGTTTTCCAGCCATGCCGTGCTGAAGTACATAGACAAACCACTACTGGTCAGAAATTATCCCAGACAGTCATTCTGCTAACAGATAAGGAGAAAACAAAAATAATCAGGGGGGTTTCGTGTGAGCGGATCAAGACAGCCAATGTAGAGCTGGCTTAGAGCTGGTCTACAGCTCATCTAACTTTTCTAGGGTCTCTTTATTTTCCATTTAGAGGAGACACTATTCTTTAAATCATGCCTGGCATAATAGGTGCCAATAGGTGGGGCGGGGGTTTAACTCCAGGACAGTTGTTGTCACTGTGCTACTGATTTATACTTCTTGCACAGAATTTTTCTTTTAAAATGGGTCTTCCTTCATACCCCCCCAAAAAAACCTGTTGATTTCTTCATAACACAAGCATAAATCCCAGGTACAGTCCAAGTAACAGCATTTGCATGTCTTTCTGCTTCATCAGAAGAAAGCTCCCTAAGCCCTGTGCACACTCTGTGTCATCAAGTCTGTAATAAATACATCCATTAATGTGATTCTGTGGATTACCAAACATGTGGGACGTGGAGATTTAATCTAACAAATTTGTGCTCTTGCACATTGCTTACTCACAGTGATAAGAAATGCTGGCACAGCTCCTGATCTCTAGCACAGATATGTCCACACAATTTTCAAAAATCTGTTTGAAAGTTCGCTTGAATCTGATTTTTACTTCATAGCTGAGAGTTAGAATTTGGCCTTATTTAAACCAGTTCCTCTTTTAAGAGTGTTAGTAACTTCAGTCCTGTGGCATTCAGTATTTCCTGCTTCTGCTCTGCCTGTTTATGGCATGTCTCACTTGCCACTCCTTTCATGCCTAGCATCAGGCCTGTGGAATAAACATACTCACCTTTTCCACAGTCCTTCCAAATCACGTTACCGATGATGGTACATATGGCTCTACCCATTTTATAAAGAAACAGAAGCTAAAGATCCTGCAAGATAAACAGAACAAGGCTTGAAGCTTTTAAAATGCAACTTGCTTAATGAGGGCATGTGCTGGTTTTGGCTGGGATTGAATTTGTTTTCTTTACAGTGACTAGCATGAGGCTATGATTTGATTTGTGCTGGAAACAGGGATGTTTTCACTGCTGCTGAGCAGGGCTTGCACAGCACCAAGGCTTCTTCTGCTCCTCCCTCCACCCCTCAGTGAGAAGGCTGGGGGTGCACAAGGAGTCTGGACAAGACACAGCCAGGACAGGTGACCCCAGCTGACCAAGGGGATATCCCACACCATATGGGATCATGCTCAGCATATAGAGCTGGGCAAAGAAGGTGAGATAAGGGGAGATATTTGGAGTGATACTGTTTGTCTTCCCAAGTACCTGTTATGCATGATGGAGCCTTTCCTGGGGATGGCTGAACACCTGTATGCCAAAGGGAAATGGTGAATTAATTCCTTGTTTTGCTCTGTTTGCATGAGCAGCTTTTGCTTTCTCTATCAAACTGTCTCTACCTCAAACCGTGAGTTTTCTCACTTTTACTCTTCCATTTCTCTCCCTTCCATGGGGGAAGGTGAGTGAGCAGCAGCATGGTGCTTGTTTGTGGCTGGGGTTAAACCACAACAAGGCTTCAAAGGCCTGATCAGTGATCCTACAAGCTACAGTCAGCACATCAGGCTTTTTTTCCATGAAGCTGCCTCAGTTGTCCACAATGATGCTTCTGCCCAGACCCCAAACTGTCCTAGCACTGAAAACACTGATTGTCCTGGGTTGACTATATGATGCTTTTATCCCCAGTTGTCTCGTTCTGTTTATGTTGAAGTTTTGTACCTTTAAGAGTGTTCCAGAGAGTGAAGGGGGGGAGAGAAGAAGCAGCAGTTAGTTTTCAGACACTGCACTTCTCCTCCACATTCCTGCTCCTGACTGTGTTGTCTGTGAATGAACAGACAGCAGGACAGAGCTCTTCTTTTGCTTTTTAGTTAGTTTTAGCTAGCTGAGGCAAAGAAGTTCCCTGGACTGATTTTTTTTCCTTTTTCTTTGGACCTCTTGAAACTGCTCTGGACTGAACACCCAGGAGAGCACCGGCAGCTGCAGCTGTGGCCCACCGGGCCAGGCCTGGCCTGCGACAATTCCAGCACCCGAGGGACTGATCAGAGACTGAATGAGCTGCTGCTTGAACCCGGGGTTTTCTCAGTTTGTCATCTCTTTTAAAGTGGCAAGGGGTCTCATTGTTTGATATTGTGTTGGTTTTATTGTTTAATAAACAGGTTTTTTCCACCTTTCTCCAAGGAGGTATTTTTTCCCTCCCAGACCAGTTGGGGGGAGGGGCCGATTGTATCTGCTTTTCCCACCGGAGATCCTTTGGGGGATTCTTCCCCAAATTTGCTCTAAACCTGGACACTGATAAATGTGCATTCTCTTACCTAAGCCAAGTATGATATTCTTCCATCTTTACCCTTCCAAGCTCAGCCCAATAGTTTAAGTAAACCCTTAGAAACTGGATCAGCAGCCCTTAATGTGCATTTCCAGCGGTCAGTTTTAAGACACAGAGTTGCTCCTCACCATGTGCCCCTATGTCTAACAGGATAATGTCTCAAATTCTTGCTTAGACATGCAAAGGCATTTCTTCTGCCAGGGATCACCTGTTTCAAGGAAATCATCCAAAATGCTGTAGTCTTCTTTGCCCAGCATATTTCTCCCAGGCCTTTAGCACACTTCTGACTTAACCCAGGAGTACCACAGTACTCTGTCTGAACCTGAGTATAGGCATGCACAGGGTTGTGGCTCTCTCACTTCTTGTTCCTGCTTTCAATATTGTTTCAGGACCTTACTGTAAGCAGAAAATAATAATTCATGGTTTCAGTTTGGTGCCCAATGTAATCTCTTGTTCAGAATATGCATCAGGTCATCAGTGGTCTTTTTTCTTTATAGCAGACTATTTTTTGCCACCTGCAAGAGTTTATCACCATCCATTCAGCCTGGAGTCTGGCTTAAATAAGATGGATTGCTATTTGCAGTCAAAATTTTGATACTACAGCAACACAGTCATTTGTCAGTAGGAAAGTTTTAAAAGGTGTGATTTGACATGTTGACTTCATCATAAACTTCAGTCTGGTTTTACTATTCATTTCCCAGGCTTTGAGAGGCTACAGTAAAAAAAAAATATTTCCCTGTAACTTTTCTATAGCCTTGGAGTGAGGCAAACTGGTTGAAAGTATTCAACTACTGAATTAGCAAAAAGGCAAGGAGGAGAGAAATAGTTATAATAGTGATTACTTTTTTTTTTTTTTTATATAGATTCCAGGGGGTATTTAAGGAACTATGAGAGTAAGCATGATGTGTGTGCCAGGCAAGGTAATAGAATTTCTAGCAGAGGAATCAAAGTAGTGAACCCAATGTGCCATTGCAAATATATTGTTCCTGAATATATTTAATATATTAAATATGCATATATATATATACACACACACACACACACATATATATATATATGTGTGTGTGTGTATGTGTATATATATATATGTATATATATGTATATATATATAATTTTCATATTATTCTATGCCATGCAATGGAATAAAGGCATTAACACAAATTTACTGTAGCTGTAAGGGACAGTCATGTCTCACACCTCTGCAGGGCTCTTCATGTTCTTCAAGGTGTGTAAAGGGTGGTTCTCCATCCAACAACTTGCCTGGGTTAAGAAGGAAAGTCTGGGCATTGATTCGTAACTCTTCAATGAGACACATAGAGCAGAGGGTAGAAAGAAATTAGCAGCTTTCATAATACAGGAAGATCTTCAACAGAGTGCAAAAAGCATCTGGTTGGAGTCTGTTCTGTTCAGCACACTCAGAAGTGTTTGAGGAAGGACATATACAATAGTGTCATATACAATTATACATATATTACACAATAGTGTAGTGGAAACTTTGCTGGTGACAGTGTTACTCCTTTGACAAGTGCACAGTGGAATTGTGAACGACATTGCAGAGGGTGGTGGGTAAGCTGCCTAGATTCCCTTGTGCTCTTATCCCCCATCTCCAAACACTTGGCTACATCTGAAAATCTTCACCAGTGTGAGTCCCATGAGGCACTCTCTGCATCAAGGAACTTCATTGCATTGCAAGGGAAAGCTTTGAGATAGGAAAGAATTGTACAGTTTTTACAGGAGCCTGTCTTGTGTGCCTCTCACCACTATGACAGCAAAAGGCAATTCTCAGCAACCAGCACAAACCCATCCTGTGTCATCAGGTTGGAGCATCCCATGGTGCCTTATTTATGCTGGTTGATTCTCTGGATCTTGCTGAAGGTAATGACTGTAAAAGTGCTGTGTGCCTGTTTTTTTGGCAAGCAGCTATGCTTTAGGAGTCAGGTGTGCAAAGCAATTCTCATTTAGCTATTTTTGGTCACATCAGTTCTTGTCCATTTTTTTCTGGCAATGCAGCTTCACTTGAAGTTGCTATGTTTAGATGATTTTATTGATGTATGAAACAGAGTAAAAAGTGAAAAGTGCATCAACATGCAGGAATAAAAGTCATCAATATCCTGGATCACAAAGAAGAATGCTCAATAGTTTAATACCAGAAAATTAATGCAGATGAGTCATCCTCACACTAAAACTACAGACAGCTGGATCGTGAGAGTGTTTTTCTGTTCTCCTTTCTTTCTTGTAATAAGAACAATGTATCATTGTCTACCACTTATTCTCCAAACTACAGAAGTGTTTTGCACACCTGCCATTTAACCTTTCAGCATTCTGTACATCACCTGGCTCCTGCATGTCTGCACAACATGTATATTTAACATATATAGAAGAAAATGCTTTGAAAGCTTATCCAAGCAAGACATGCTTAGAAGGTTAGGAAAGTGAACACACTTCCCTAATTCACAAAACTATCAAGTAATTTTTTTTTTTTCCTGTCAAATTGTGGAGGGTTGAAGAGGCCTCATTGAAGAGACCTCCTTGCATGGAAACAGAAGTGATTTTCCAATATGAAAAGATGTGGAGTACTCCATTACATGTTTGTCCTGAGGAACTATAGCAAGATTGGCCCATTGTGAACTTGATTTTTACTACTTCATCTGTCTTTGTTTTCTCCTCTATTTTACCTTCATTTTATTGTGTGTGTCATGGTGGGAAAACATTATTTTGTGAGTATCCTTTTTAACAAATAATGCCTGCTTCCTGCAGCCTATATAGACTTATCTGATTTCTAGGTCATAGATCATTTGATAGCTCATGGATCACTTGGATCATTTTTCTTTTAAATTAATCAGATTCTGGCCCAAAGGATCTGGCAAAGCTAATATGCTACAGTTGTGCATATGTTACAACAGACAACCTTCTGATTGTTCCACCACCTCTTTGAAATTAGGTTTTACAAGTTCAGTGAAGGAACCACACATAACTTATCTGCAATAGGAGCGGCCTTTTTGAAAGAAATATAAGCTAACATGTTATTGTAATAAACACATCTTCTGTTTTTTCCCCTAGCATAATGGAATAATCCTGTAGTGCCAGAAAATTGGAAGTGAAGTGCTATGCAAAAACAGGAACAGAAAGGGCTGTGCAGTACTGTTTGTAGCCTTGAGAAATAATGCATCTGGGGTTAAAATAGTAATGATTTAGGGAGTAGGGACACGTGTCTCTGCCTCATGTACATTCCCTTCTCTGTTGAAAGCTGAAGTCTCCAGCCACTCTTTGAGCCTACAGCATCTCCTCCTTTCACCATTAGTCTCTGTTTCTTTGTGCCAACAGCTTTTGTCTGTACACCTGGAAGTGTAGAAGGAGTGCTCTTCTCCTTCATCCTCTCAGAAAAAGGTAAAGTCAGAACAGTAGGTTTTTGGAGAAAAAAAATGAAATTATGAGCTACCCAGTGCTGCTGATGGTAAGTCTGGCTAGAGGACAGAAAAAGAAAAAAAAAAAAAGTTACTTACTGGAGCTTATGCTACAGCTTTCTATAACAGAGTCTACTTTACAATGACTTCTACTGCCATTGTCAAGCCTCATTATTCTTAGTTTTTCTCCTCAGCATTTACTGGATTTCTCTGAAAAGAGGACAGAAGTGTCACCAAGGCAGCTCTTCTCACAAGAGATGCTGTGTGGGCAGATATGTTATATCTACCGTGTATCTACAATGCTGAATTGTCAAACCTTTAGACTCTTGGTAGAAAAAAAATGTTGGGTTAGACATCTTTTTTAGTTTGAGAAAAAGATGTAAACAATAACAAGTGGGTGTTGGCAAAAACTTGGCAGCCCTCTATACAGCTGGGAGAAATAATCTATTAATAATCTACCTGGAGCCATAGTCCTTATATTTAGTGTGTCTGTATCCTGAGACACAGCTGCAGCTTGTGTGCTGTTTTCACTGGTGCTGCAAGGATTAGCAGCAGGCCATCTGTTCAGCCACTGAGGAAAACCAGGTGATTGGCAGGTACCACTGACCTAAGACAGACATCTCCTTTTGGTGCTGCCTGCAGAGTGGAACTGTGTGCTGAGTTCCTTCTTCTTTCAAGTTGTAAATGAAATACATTCACTCTGAGGTGATAAAAAGTGTCTCATGGTTGTTCCAGCTTGTTTCTCTGTCGTATTCAAGCACTCTGTGCTTGTCTTTCTCCTTTGCAATTTACTAAAACCTACAAAGTTGTAAGTCTAATCTCTAAGCTGGCACATGCTGAAGGGATGAGACACTGCAGATATCTGAGAGCAGATAATCCTGTTTGTCTCCAGAACTCCCCCAGGCTGCAGGAAGAACTGGCAGGCTGCAAGAGGCCTGGACATTTGTCCATCAGTGTAAGGACAAGCAATCTTTATGTTGTTGTCATTCAGCCCAATGTCTGGGATTTGGTTTAATTTCATCATTAAATATAAGTGGTGCTTTTCCAAGAAAGATCATTGTAAAATTTGATTCAGGAACAGCCTTTTTATTTCTTGATGTGGAGGCAAGTTGTGCTCTACTTCAGGACTCACAGCTACCATGCAGACAATTGTCAGACAAAGGACAACCTCCAAAAAGAAGATGAAGCAGATATTAAAGCTGCACAATGGATTTTCAAGGTAAGAAAAAAATGCAGGATTAGTTATACAAATGTCCTATGTGAGGGGGTGAAATGCTGTACCTGGAAAAGAAGAGAAAGAAGTATTGATGTCATGAACAGCAGCCATAGGTTGTTTATCACCAAGACATCACTATTCATGCAGTTTTCCTTTTTCCTGAGCCTCTTCCCCTGCCCTCTGTTCCTCAGCCTGTTGCAACCACAGTGACAATGGAGGTGGTGATCTGCCTTCCCACTAAGTGTCTGCTTTCAAAGAATATAATAAACACATCCATCTAACAAAAAAATTCATACTTTGTGAAGCTTATCTGTTGCTAAAAGAGTGAGGGAAAATATGTTGCTTCATGGTGTTTAGACATAAAGAATTTTGCTGTTTTTTACTGGTACGATGTCAGATTATTTTTATTGGTAGCTGACAAAAGATAATATGCCAAAGAAATCAAACTGCATTATACTGAAATCTACTAGGGAGTCACAGTAAACCCTCCTTAGTGGACCTATAGAGTATTCCTTAATTAAAAACAACAGTCATGTATCTTCTAGATTTAGTCAAAAGCCTGAAAGCTGCCTGAGGGGTGAACTGCTATTATTTATTTATGCATGCATGCATGTTCCTATGTATCACAGCAAGAGAGACAAATGTAAGAAACTGTATCTTATTAAAGCTTTGGGGCAAAAATGGTGCACCATTGTTCATGATAGGGGAAGGAATGTGATAGCAAAGTCCTGCACTCCTGGAACCACAAAGGTTGTCTTTTTTCAGATTTAAAGCCAGAATAGAGAGGGGCTAAGGCATGCAGTTGAGTTTGTTGGCAGGGTTGGTGAAAGTTAAGACAGGGGAAGAAGCCATTCCCAATTCCATGTCTGCCTTAAAAATATTCAAGTTAAAGCTAGAATTGATCTCTCCATCCCATTTCCTTTGCCAAAGTATAACAATTTCTAAGAGGCCATTTCATTTGAATTATAGGAATGCACTCATCAGAAATCCTAAATTACTTTCACTGCTTTTGCTGAGAGAAAATGCTCAGCCTGGTTTGCTGATATCAGAAGACTGTTTCTGATAATGAACAAAGTACCCTCTGTTCAGAATTTCATGTCATTCTGTTTTCTGTCCATTTGGCACATGAGCCTGGGGACTTCTTGACCCTCTTCAAGGCGAAAGAGGTTTTGTCATAGGCCCAATGGCTCTTGAAGTTAACCATTGACAGTCATAGTTTCTGAAACATAGATTATGAATTCTTCATAACTCATGTCCCCAGACATTTCTTGTTTATCCATCCTTTAATTCACTGCAGGTGAATTGTTCCCTTCAGCTTGCTGATTGCTATTGTGGATATTGCCTGAATTTGTAATTTGTAATTTGCTGAGACTCTGAGAACTTGGTGCACAGGACTGAGTCAGTGACCTCACAGAAGATAACTTATTATTTCTCTATTCTGCAAAGGATTTATCTGTAGAGGGACATAAATACCACTGGAATGTTCAGACCCAGCTACTGTCCACAATTCCTTTAACAGCACTGCTGCCAGCTTCCCTTCTCCTGCTTGCTGTCTGTTCCATTTACTTTATTTAGTGCTTTTGCTTCTAAATGCTGCAGCTCTGCTGGTGTGGCTCTCATCCCTGGTAGCAGACAGCCTGCAGGGACTGCCCAGGAGATGCTGTGTAGCCACTTTCTGAGCTCAGCTGAGTTGAAATTGCTGGGATGTGAAAGCTCAGGTATGAGGCTACATTCTCGGGGGGAACATGTCTCCAAAACTTCATAAACCATATCAGCAAATGATCCTTTCATATATGTAATGTAAGCAATGTTACTGGTAGTTAATGGGTCTACAAGGATTGTGTTAGTGATAGGAAGTTAGAAAACTTACCCATCCAGAAGTGTGTACAGCCCTAAGGCTGGGGAACTAAAGCAAACTGCAGGCTTTACCTCACATGGGTGGGAAATGCCTTTCTCTTTTCCTGATAGGGAACCACTGCACAGAGGGTTTACATGATTTCCTAGTAGTATTTAGGAAAATCACTTCAGGTTTGTAAGGCTCAAGACCCGTTTGTCACACTTCCAGAATCAAGGAGATCACATTCAAACTTTTATTTTCTTTTTATTAACTGCTGGTGACATTGAAATGTACAGAAAGTTCAGGTTCTTTTGGTAAAACGTTTCTATATGTGACACTGGTTGCTACAGAGAGATTATGTTCTTAGACCTGTAATTTGTGTGACTGACAGGGTCCTTGATCAGACTCCAGAGTTCTCATTAATTCCCATGCTCCTTTTCACTTTAGATGAGATTTTGGATTTAATATTTCTCAATGTAACTGGTGACTGCTTCTGAGAGCAAGTTGGCATCTAATGCAACATGCCAAAGAGTAAAAAAGCCAAAATAGCAAATAATTTTTTCAATTAAAAAAAAAAACAAAAAAACACCACCACCACCAACAAACCTAAATATTTTAACGGAACACTTGAATTAGGTTTATTTATTCTTGAATGTGCTTTCAAAGAGAAACTGAATTACAAGAGAAATGTTTTTGAAAAGTGGTAGGCAGAGCTTAAAGGCCTTTAAAGGCCTTTTAAATTCTCTTCATGACGTTTAAATCAACTCAATGAGTTGTTTGTTCTTATCTCCATTTACATTGCTTAGAAAGCCTTTCTCTCTGCCATGTTGGCATCTTGATTTATAAAAGTGTTAAAAAGCAAAAGTGAATAAACTGCTTTTTACCACTATCAACACAAAGATACAAGGACTTTCTTAAGCTAGAGCTAACACAGATGCATTTATGTGTGCTCCCTCGGAGCTTTTAGCAAGTAAACAAAATAAAACACCCCTGAAACATTATGATGCCTTGCATCATATGATGCACTGCATAGGGAGATAGTGCAAGGTTTCAAATATATCTCAGTTTCTTTCCCCTCTGGACAAAATTTAGCCAAAGTCCTGTTCCACAGAGCTCATTGCTATCCTTTCTTCAGAAGAGGGTGAGAATGTTCCTCAGAGAGCTGCCACATTTTAGTTCATGTCCAGATTACACCTGGATAGAACCTGTTTCACTTCTATAACATAATTATGGCTTCTAAGCATGCAGTCTCCAGATTTGGTTGGGTTTACATGAATAATGCACCTACAGACAGCAAGGGACTGGGCAAGTGCAGATAGGAAAGCAGTGTGAGGGCTCTGAGGGCATTGATAAATGTTAGAAATGTTCATGGCCCTGACCAGCCTCAGCTGGGGTCTCTCTCCTCACCCATGGAGAAGCAGCTCTGTTAAGTTTAGCCCACAGGGGCTGTTCCCTTGAGCAGAGCCTGAAGGGGTGATGGTCTCCAGCCAAGTGACAGCCATGTAGGGGAGCCTCCCACCCTGGGCTGAGTCTCTGCCTTGGCCTTGGCTCTCACCTGTCAGGGTGGGCTTGCCTGGTGGCTGTGGGACCTGATCGTAAATCTGATCTGAGAGTTGATTTCCACCTTACTGTGGTACTTTTATTATCTGGATCTTTCTTTAACTTGTCTCTATGTTCTGTTTGCCTTGCTCGAGTAGTGGGAGTGAGATGTGGGATCCCTTTGCTTCCAGCTCTCCTCCTGTGAGGAACAGCCCTGTTCTTGCTAGGGATTGAAGCAGCATCCTTTCCAGCTTCTGCTGACACTTGCCTCACCTGTAAGGGCTTCCCTTCCTCCACAGGCAGGGAGCAGAGAGGTGAAGAACAGCACAGTGTTAAGTGAGGAGGTATGTGCCAGGGAGATGCAGAGAGCCAGTATGAATCCTCCTTAAACAATAACCTGCAGCTGAGGCACCAGGACACCTGCATGGTTATTCCAGCATGGCTTTCCTGCTTGCCAAGTCCTCTCCGCTTAAATTCTGTGTGGGGGACCAGGCAGAAATAGAAATGGCATCAAGCATGCTGCCTGAAGGAGCAGTCCCAGGGAAGTATGGCATCCTTTATCCTTGCTCTAGCTGATCCAGCTCTGCAGGAATCCTTTGGGCCTGGAGATGTCCAACATTATTCTATGGACCGCTTGCAATGTGAGTCACTCATGACCATGCATAGCTCACCTAAATTATTTGGCAACTGCTGTGAATCATAATTTCTTTGATAAAATAGGAATTAATTCACAACCAATTCCAGAAAGGTCAAAAATCATAAAAGTTGTTATTTGCAAAACTTTGGTGCCAGTTGAATAATCGCACTGCTTTTATCCAGGGTCTTCGGCTGATGAGTACTGGCAGTCATTAATTGTTGTTACTCTTAACAGTCCCTCTGAAGTCAGATGTTGTCTTTATCTTTTGTAAGAGTAGGAAAAGTCCAGGCATTAGTAAACATACTCACCCTTTTCAGTCAATATAATCCCCACCAAGTATGTTTACAGTATGTTTTTCATACTCAGTCATTTTTGTGTGTCTGAAAACTTGTGATTGTCAGAGGGTGTTGAGAACAAACCAAGAACACACTTCTGTTCTTCTGAACAGATCTTGTACATAGTTAAACAGGCTGAAACATAATTGAACAGTCACCTATTATCTCTTATGTTTGAGATGGGCAAGGGACGCAAATTGTAGGGCCAGGGATTGAACCCTTTTCAGATGCAGCCAGCATTCTTTGTCCCTGCCAAAATAGTTATTCTCACACAGCAGATGTAAAATTTGAGACATGTTTGACACTGTTTTATTCAGGAGCAAGATTTCAAAGGGAGACAGAATTCTGGGAGAGATATAGGAGTATTATGGGGCATTTAGGACCACCAAGTTATGTGCAGCTAGTCATACTGACAGCTTTGATGATACAGTCTACTGTTTGATAGGGAAAACAATGGGTATTTTGCCAAATAGTTATAGACTAAGATAATAAAATAAAATTATAAGTTATGTTATAAGTTTTAAAGGCAAGCAAAGTTATTTCTAGGGCAAGCTGGAGAGCATTATCTCTCTGTGACGTTCTCTGGTGGTTAATTTAGTTTGCTGGAAATGTATCCTTTATAACAATAGTATATCTTGTCCCTGAAGTGCTTGCACTAGTTAAGAAAGGGCTACTCCTGCACATTTTTCCAGACTATCAACCTTTACGAGACCTGCAGTGTTATCTTGGTTTCAGCTGGGATAAACTTAATTTTCTTCCAAGTAGCTGGTGCAGAACTGTGTTTTGGATTCAGTGTGAGACTAACTTTACTAACAAAGTAAAGTTTTAGATGTTGCTAAGCACTGCTTGCCCTAAGTCAAGGACTTTTCCATTTCCATGTTGGGTTGGTGAGTGGGTGCACAAAAACTGGGAGGGAGCAGGGCCAGGAGAGCTGACCCAAACTGGCCAAAGGCCCATTCCATGCCACAGGGTGCCATGCCCAGTGTATGAACTGGGAACAGTTGGCCAGGAGAGGCCAGTGCAGCTCTGTGGGTCCTGCTGGGGGCAGGGGAGGAGCACAGTGTGCTGTGAATGGGGCACCCTGCAGCAGACCAGGCCTTGGAAGACATGCAGTGAGCCACTGGCTTAGCTCCTGTCAGTGCATGGCACTCATTTCACCACTTGCTGGCTACCCCTGCACAGCCCTGCAGAGATCTTTAGTGTTGGGTTGGGGCTTTTCTTCCCACATTTCCTCCAGGTGTCCACAGTATACTAGTCTACTCCAGGCAGCTCAAAGTATTAAATATAACTCCTTTTAGAACGTTATCTTTTCATCTTTAGCATGAAAGTAAGAACAGATGAGTGTGGCTTAAGCAAGAATTGTTCTATCAGACAGAAAAAGTTGTGGGGGTGGTGGGACAGGTTGCTTAGAGAGGTTTTGAAGTCTCTGTCCTCAGAGGACTCCAAATCCTGCTCAGCACAGATCTGGGAAGCCTGAGGAACAGGAGGCAAAACTAGACAATCTGCAGAGACCCCCTTCCAATCTCAACTATTCTGTTGAGAAACAAAGAGCTCTTCAAAGAGTCTTTCTTTTTAAACTTTTCTGTAATTACACAGCATAATAATACTTTTAATTCATAAATTCTTTTTTTTTTTTGCATCCAGAAATATTTTTCAGAGAATAGCTGGCTGTATTGCTCATCATTGTCTATGAGCCAATAATAGCTGCATAGACAGCAATCAGAGGCCATTCTTTTGTAAAAATTGTCAAAATAATAAGGTACTGCACATTAATGGGTGGATTACTTGCATATTAATGGTGTGCAAATTTTCTAGTCCTCATAGATAATTTGTACTAATTTTCAATAATGTGTTTTTCTAATTTAGTGATTTACATACTTTACTATTAAAATAGTCCTAAAGCTTCCTGTTCACATATGCACCTTTGAAATAGGCAAAATGCAGATTCCCGGGCTGATAAAGACATTGCTGTCAGAAAGAATTTAATTAATATGAAAACCAAAAGGCAAAGTGCTTTTACACTAGTTCTGAAAATTTTTCAGCAAAACAATCCTAGACTGACCTGAATTACCGAGATTGTTGTTATTAATTTACAATGACCTTCTTTAAGTGGAACAAAATGTCATGCTGATGAATAAATAACCTACTCAGCCTAAATCTAGATCAACTCATTTGAGATATGGGTAGCTTCAGGTTTACAAATACATTAATTTACTGTATCCTTTCACCAGCAAGAATTAATAATTTAGATAAAGGATGCTGGGGAAATCAACATTTCTCTGGAAGACCATGGAGACCTTCTTAAAAAGGCATCTAGTTTGGGTGTCTGGGAGCCAGAAGGAATTTACCTTTACTCCATGATATGCCTCTCAGACTCAAACTTGATGAAAATAAATGACTCTTGGTAAAATACAAAATTAAAATGACGTACCTTTCTGCATATTTCTCAGGGATTTTTGAGTGCCAGAGGAATCCTGAAGTACCAGATCAGCAAATCCTTTCAGTGACCAGGAGAATGGTGAGGGGTGCAGTATCGTGGTAATCAGAGGGCTGGAACAGCTCTCCTGTTAAAACAGGCTGAGAGAGCTGGGGTTGTCCTGCCTGGAGAAAAGACAGCTCCAGGGAGATCTTAGTGCTGAATTCCAGTGCCTAAAAGGAGACCACAAGAAAGCTGGAGAGGGACTTTTTACAAGGATATGGAGAGACAGGACAAGGGGAAATGGGGTGAAGTTGGAAGAGAGTGGGTTTAGATTGGATACCAAGAAGAAATTCTTGACTGTGAGGGTGATAAGCACTGGAACAGGTTGCCTAGAGAGGGGTGGATGCCCCATCCCTGCAAGTGTTCAAGGCCAGGCTGGATGGAGCTCTAAGAATCTTGGTCTAGTGGCAGGTGTCCCTGTTCATAGGGTGTGGGAGGTTGGAAATAGATTATTTTTAAGGTCTCTTCCAACCCAACTCATTCTATGATCTAAGATTATCAGAGGCAGTTCTG